ATTATATTTTAATGCGAACGAATGGAATTTATTTTTGGTAACAAGTTCCAACAAGTCTATAGTAAAAATTCCTTCTTGATGATTTTGTTTACTACAATAGTAGATACCATCAATTTGGTATAGGTACCTTGCAGTTCACTGATAATAGTACTCAGGTAAAAAAGGTTGTAATAATAGATTCTACCTGCATATGTCTATTTCTGGATGCATATTTCATGTAAAATTGGCACATTCTTTTAAAATACTTAATATTATTCTAAATTTTAAATTATATTTAGAATATTTTCGAATGTAGGTACCTATTTAATAACCTTTAATGTATTAATACAAAGAATTAACGACTACAAAACAGAAATATCGTATAAATAGATATTGTTTTCATGAAACTTAAGGGAACTAGGGACCGGTCTAAGAAGCTCTCTTTTAACATAAATAACACATTTTGAGTAAATACGAAATTAAATCATTTGTACCTACCATATAAGAGCTTAGTAATAAAATATAACCAGTCTTATCAATTGAAATTGAACTATTTTTCACACATTGTTTGCCTTTTTCAATAAATAGTGCAATAAACCACCTTACATGACGGCTTATTTTTTATTTGTTTCCAGTTGAGATGTGAAAAAGGAAAGTTTTACACCCCATTAAACCGGGGTCGAACCAGTTCGAATCAGTTCGAACCAGTTACTTTCGGTTCGAGTGGAAAAAATGCTCGAAATCCCGTAAACGTCAAGTTCTATAATTTCATCGAATTCCTGCTCAATTGGTTTGTTGCACACAATCGTCGCTGTACTGTCCCTGCTCAATATTTTGTATCTATTTCTGTCGCGGTTAGTATTGTTTTGACCCAATGTTAAATGTTTCGGAAGCTTCGAACGAAAATAAAACGCGAAGACGAAATTTTCCATTCCTCATTACGGTTTTGAGTCTCGCCAGAAGCAGTTAGTTACTATTTCAAAGTGTGTGAAAGCCGTCGCGCTTCTTTAATGTCCTATATCCTTATAGTTCCTTATAAGGCGAAACTTTGCAAAATTCTTTTTGTTGTTAATATTACTATCAAAGGTAATTATTTTTTTTTTCTTTTCAATATTATTCGTTGTGAAATATATCGTTAGAATTTTTTGAGAATTTGTTTGCGATTTTTTTGGAAATTTGATTTTTTATAATTTTTGGTAATTATTAATTTATGTAAGCGCATATAAGATTCGCATTCGTTACTTTAAATTATGCTAATTCTATGCTTTATTTTATTCAATTATAATTTTAGAATCGAATTGTTTATGTTTAACCGTCTAGGATTCGTGATTGACATTGAATTTTCTTTCTTTGATCACATTCATACAAACACTAAAATAATCTATTCTGTATTATTCACTCGCCAAAATGCATTTTCTAACACCGAACGAATAACAATCGGACATTGTTATAATAATCTTCAGCACGAGTAAATTAAAATTAAACCATTCGGAAATCAATGAAATTCCTTCATGAACCATATGCATATTTTGGCAATAAGTTTGTCGACGTTGTTTTAATTATACCAATTCGAATTTGAAAGTAAAGTTAGTTATTTAAAGACGTCATATTTTATTATCGCGAATCTTATTACTTAGTTGGCACTGAAAACGGTGAGATCAAAGTAGTCTACTGTTATAACGTTTACAGATCGGGATAAATGATACGTTTGTGACTTTAATAAATGATTCGAATTAAAAGCAATACAGCGGGTTTTTTAATTGTTCTTATAGATTAATAATTTTGGGAATTCTATATTATCTACTATTGTCATTTTTGTGTTTGACGAAAAGTCTGGTGTTAATTATATAACTATTATCGTAGTCAGTTTAGGAACATTATAGACTATTTGCCTGTATTATTACAATAGATATAATTTCTAAATAGGTATAAATTTGTTGAAGTAACTACCTACTTTACCTGTTAATAAGCAACTTTTTTTTTGTAACTAGACTTTGTACTTTGCAAATAATCGCATTTTTATTAAATAAATGTTTTGAACTAATTATTAAATTAAATTATTAAATTATTAAATTAACATAAATATGATATACTTTTTCCGGTTGAGGTCGTTTTTTTAAACAATTTGATGCAAAATGCAACAATCGCCAAATATACATATATTCATTCATACATCATTAATTTAAATATACTTTATTTTAATATTAAACCGCTTATAAATATTATATTGCATATAAACATTGATTTATCAAGATACTCACGCACCAAACAAAAACACATACAAACATTCGTATATTTATTTATATTTATATTATTATATTACCTACACTACAGTTACATTCCATTAATAGATTTTTGTAATTTTCCAAATGAAATTAACCAAAAAACAAACGGATAACAGAGAATTTATTATTTAAATGGAACATTAACGAATTAAAAAAGTAATAATTAGTTCTGTAATGAATAATAAAGTCGAACGATTTTTTGGCACGTTTAAAGTCGCATTGAACATTAAATTACATACTATAGAACGCAAAGCTCGGCTATTTTTAATCGGCGACAACACGTGACAGAGCTTGGAGAAATGACAGTTTTTCATTTGACCAAATCGAATTATTCGTACGTCTGCCTACACTTTAATTTACAACCAAATTTCCGAAAAAAAAATTGGAGATGTCCCAAGTAAAATATTCCATAAAAACACTTTTTGTATGTTTCATTATTTTGTAGTGGGATTTTGTAAGAGTATGTATATGCTTGTCGGGCACTCACTTTATCGTTTATTTTATAATATTCGGTTATTTTTTACTAAATTGTACATTTTCGTGATTAGCATGCTTGTGATTGGTAATTATTTGTTTACAGGAATTAAAGCAACGATTTTTTACGGTTTATAACCGAAAAATAATAATCTGCTGGTTATGCATATTCATTACTTAGAATTTGAAGGAACAAACCGATAATTAGACATTGTAAAACATGACTGCATTAGAATAACAATAACAACAAACAATTTTTTGTAATCGTTTTACGGAATCACTGTTTAATTCGCAGCAAATTCGACTTTGAAAAATGATAAATTTGAAATGAACCCAATAAACAATGCCGGCTTGTTTAAAGGACTCCAATAATTGTATTCAGAAATATCGGATCCGTTTCGGTGTAATCGAATTCGAAGCAGAACATTCTGGTTATAACAGATTGTGCGAATAAAACTATCGAAATTTAAACTAAATAGTGATTAATTTGTCTGCAAGGCACAAACAATTAATCTAAAAACTCGCTCGCAATGTTCTCAATTAAAACGGTATCTAAAGTGTTGTAATTTTGATAAAAAAAAGTACCTACATTTGTAACAAAGTAAATACTATTACAAATAATTGCTAATGATGCAAATTAGAATTACAATAAATTATTATTGTCGATTAAATCTGAAATTTACAGAATTTCAGTGCAAATGAGAATTTATTTTTCAATGTCGAATCGGTACCCACTACCTACAAAAATCGTTTATAATAACGAGGCACGTTTCGATTGAATTAGACGTGCAAATGCAAAACATTCTGTACATGAAACGAAAAGCAACAATTAGATAGATATCTCGGTCTTCGGCTCGACGAGCGTGTAAATTTGCGGTTTCGAATTATTGGCGACGGGTCAATAAACTAAGGCGTTTATTTCGATTTACTCCTATTGTATATTTGGCTAGAGTAACTTAAGAAGAAAATAACTGTACCTTTTTTATATACCCGCACTTTGCATAAATTTTGAGTTTTCTTGTGACGAAACATCGCCCACCAACAAATACGCAGTAATAGCATTACAATCATTAATATTTATCAAGTGATACTAACCACTAATCAATATATGTATTTTAGGACATAATTAGTTTTTTTATTGAATAATCACTTAATGGTCGGATGATCTATAAACCATCATTTTTTCTATAGACACATGTCTAATCATATATCTATCGAAATTTATGCCGAACAACTATGAAAAATATTAAACATTTAGTCCATAATTTTGAAACAAAATACATACCTAAATAAAATTAACTCGTGTGCAAATTATATCTGGGTTTTACGCAATAAATTGATATATTCTAAGAAGTGACATAACATCTATATAGAAGCAATTCAGTTCTTTTACCTGCAATCCTTGAATATCCAATTTCACATACGATTCGAATGTTGGAGTGCTGATTGATTTTGAACGTCTCATTAATAATTAATTTAATCCTGTTGAGATAATTGTGTGTAGTCTTTCAACTTTTTTAACTATTTGTTAGCCTATTAAAATTGACTTCCCTGGTCGGTAATTTGATGGTTTTGAAGGACAATATGTACGTTTGCTATAAAAATCAAAAATAAAACCTATAAATAGATATGAATATGTTATATAATTGGATGTAATTCAGAGAAGACAACAAAAAAATCTCTTGCAAAAACTATAAGACTTGAGCAAATTACCTATTCTATTGGATTTGCCCAGGATTGATCTCAAAAGAATGCATTTTTCTATTAAAATTCAAATGTATGTAGGTAAATTGTATTATTAATTGTATTATTAAATAAAGATATTATTACGAACAACTAAATTTGTTATGTACTATTTCACCAAATAACAATCCAAAATTACTGTTTTTTGTCATTTATTTATTATAATTTCATTATTTAGTTTCATTTTAAAATAATTTAGTTGCAAATACGCGTATATCTAATAAAGCTATTATAGAAAATTAAAATACATTAGACACATGTGTTACTGAGAGTAGAAAAAACAGTTCTACAGGTATTACTTAAGATCGAAGGATATTCGTGTTACATGAAATTAGTCTGATCCTGTTCTCCTCGTTGCCGATAAAGTAAGTGATCCTTTCGCTTTATCGGTTATTAATAATAATAGATCATATAACAGCCTATAATGTTGAGATAATACGCTGTTTATGCCTTTTCAAGGCTGTTAAATTTACCATGAAATTCGTTTATTTCTCGCGAAATATGCACCGGTGATGATTTCTAATAGACAGTCGTCGAACGGTTAAGTTTCTCAACGCTGCTCCGTAATCGCACACGAAACATGGACAATATGGCCAATTTAACAACGTTTTTTATGTGCCGTCGGTGTTAAAGATGATCCGCGTAAACTTTATATGTTTGTGAAATATGTTTCAGGCAGATAACGATATGGCGGACGCGTCAAAGCCCAACAGACGATTTTCGATGCCGATCAATTTACCTCCTCCCCAACAGAGGAGGATGTCCGTTCGGAGCTTTTACTGGGTTATGGTTAATCCTCTGGTAAATTTGTTGTTTGAATGCGATTTATCGGTTTACTTTGGTTTCCGTTTGGTCGTATATTCAAATTCGGATTCGATAAATTGAAAAAAAATGTGTAAAATGTTCCTATACTAAAAGCATTTTTGTTAGTTTTTTTTACTAAAACCAACAGGCGTTTTAAAGAGAGGATTAATTTTATAGGGTTTTTGAAATGTTTTTAAGGATCTTCTAGATCTGTAACATTTCATTAGGATACGGAGAAAGTGCGTTAAGTTCCTTAATAAAGGAATTGTGGCAGTGTAAATAACTACAATAGATCTAATACAGTTGCCAAGTAAATTGAATGCTTCGTAAAAACACAAACCCGACCAACATTTCATTACTTTTAATCGAGTTTAATTAACTTTAATAGACGCACGTCGTTAATTTAACAAAAAGTTATTTGCCACTTTTTTGCGATGTACGCTCTTTTATTTTATCTCTAATTTGTAATATAAATTTTTCCGTTAGTTCAAAAGTTCACTTTCACTTCCATGGGTCTTCTCCATAATAACTTTTTGTCTGTAAATACATGCAAAATTATTACATTGTCTAGGTAAAGTCATTTACGGATAATATATTTATCAAATGTACCTGGCTTTTCTAATTACTTGTGGAAATCAATTACACGTGTTATTTTTATGTATACGCGTGAATTTTTTGAATGAAGAAATTTCACTCGACGTGAATAATGTTTTGCACGTTCGGTTTTGTAGATATAGATTTACATGTAAAACACATCGGATATGTTCGATTTTGTAATATAGGTTAATAGGTTTAACAGCGGTTTTCGATTACAAAATTGTACATTAGAGTTTTAAAAATACCTTCGTTTAATTCTATTTTCTTTATTGATACCATTATTTATTTTCTTATTAAAGTATATAACACTTTCCTATTAGATTTTATTCGAACAGTTTAAGTCGATGTAATTGTTTTTAATTAAAACGTTGTTCGTTTAACCATCTCTAAATGAAATAAAAAAACCGACTATTATAATAGTTTACAGTTGAAGAATTGTTAATGATGTAAATCTGTATGTTTGAAAAATTAGCATATAATAAGTTTCCTCGGGAATCCCTTAATAAACAAAACTCGTTTATGAATGGAAATAAAAACACGCCAATTATGACATAACGCTAATTATCTTCTGAAACGGAATATACAATTCCAATTATCAGAAATTTATGATACGATTTTTCGAGGTTTTAGATATTTAGATAATTAAAGGCTGCTCAAAATGCATGCGCAGTACAAACAGACCTTGATATTCATTGGAAACGGAAGTTTCTAATAGTACGTTTCCGATATTCGAATCAATGATCATAAAAATAACAACGATATATGATGTGGGAACAGATTTTTTTTCAATACCTAATTATTACTTAAAAAAAATGATAACAGATCCGGAATTAGTTGAAAATCCTTTCACTCGGTCTGGTATTAGAATATAACTCAAACTGAACTCGTTTGTTAACTTTCTTTCTTTCTTTCTAAAACCAATTTGTTGTTTAATTGACACCTTTCTTAACCAAATGATGGATTATTTTTCGAGACTTTTTATTCGATAATTTCTATTTGCACGCGCGAATACTTCAATGCGAATAAATCGTTAATAAAAGTGAAACAGCTCGATGTTGCATAAATTAAATAAAATTTACTATTACCGTTATCGCATATTAAATTTGCGCAATTGATATTAAAGTAAACGTTATCAAATTAAATGAATGCTTGGGATAAACCGTGTAGGTCAAGATTAATTCATTACCAAAAGTTGATTTAATCTAAATGAAAATTTTGCCTATAAATAAATAAGTTTTTGACCTTAAAAGTGTGAATACGAAATAGAAACCTCTCTACGGTGGCTGTTACAGGTATTCTAGATAGTTCTCGGTTTTACGTTTGACCCGGACCTGTAAAACAAGAATACTTTTTCTCGCTGTGACGCATCTCACGTCCGCAATTTTATTTATGTCTTCAGGTAATACCGCTTGCCGCGTTCCGAGATATAATTTTAGCATCAACGGCGACTCGCAACTCCAGAAATAGCAGCAAAAAGAGAAAGAAATAAAGCAGAAATCGTCCAAGACCTCAAGCTGGATTACAGAGAGATGATTATGGTTATTCTCGGACGACTACTTACTTGTTGATCTGTAATTGGCTAATTTACGATGATTTAATACGGATTCCCTTCGGTCGTCGATGGCCTCAATGCGAATTTTATTGTTCGAATTGGCTCCAACCACCGTAACTACGTTTTAATTGCTCGTGCATCTATTAAACAATACTTTTACTTTGCTTACATAGTTCAGAGTTACATCACAAAATATAGGAAGTTTAGTATTTTTAATTCGCTTTGCAGAAACTGCTAAACGAGTACAGCAGGGTTGATGGCCTTTCTGTAACCGGACGACCTTGGTAATTGAGCCCGCATTAAACGCGTATCATTTAATTTCGTGCGCCACGTATGACGACATTTCGGTATTCAGGTTCATTAAATATTAAATTGCTAAATTTTCGCGATCTAATTTACTGCTTTAACGATAATTTTCATTGCCAGTTAATCTGCTGCACACTCCGCCATATCTATTGTTCATTCAATGGGAATTTTCGCAGAAAAAAAAAATAATATATGCAATTTATAGTTTAAGTACTGTAACTATTCGAGGTGATAACTAATAACAAAAGAATTAAACAAATCACGGTATATATTTAATTTCTGTATATGCTTATTTCAACGTTTTTCATTTGCACGTGATTATTTTATTTTACTCTTCACTATACGTATCTACATGTGAATTCAATATTGTTATACCTACATATGGTAAATTATTTGGCAAATTATTCATCAAGTTACTTTAACCCTCTAAATTACGGAAAGATCCTACATATTCTACCTAAAACTATTTTATGTACAGTTGCATCACAATAATGTATGGCAAACAAAAGATCAAAAAGTATGTCACTTGTTCAAAAGCATGTGGGATTATGCACTTATTGAATTATAACACGTTGAAGACAAAAACGCCCGTTAAACTGTGTTTGATATAATACCTGACATCTCTTTCTAATAAATGCAAATGCAATCTAGCACTCCTTTTGTAATAACATTCAAATGAGTATAGAATTTTAAATAAAGTACTTGTTACATGACGAAATATGTGATTACCTAAGTCAAATCGTTCCTGTTGTTTGATCGTATTTTCCAATCACTTTGGGTCGATACGTTAAAAGAGAAAGAATCGGCAGGTAAATGATCAATAAAATATTTTATAAAATTGTAATGCAATCTAACTGTAATCCGTATGCCGATTAGTTCAAAAACCAGTTTAAAATCGTAATTCATATTCAGAAAGTAACGTTATAATGTAAAAATGGTTTTCATGATCCGGTTTGTTTATTGTAATCGTAGACGATTTTGCTGTCAACAGGCAAATACAGATACATGAGCATGAGTAGGTACTCCATATATGATTTTTCGATTTAAACACCTGCGAACATGACTGAACAGGAAACGTTTTTCAATAACAACTTATAAAAGTCTACAATGTTGTGTGTTAAAAGTGTTCTCTTAAAATTTTATGAATTGCATTTTTCTAAAACAGAATCTTCTAGAGATTTGGTGGTATGTCTAGAATATAAAGTGTTGGTATGTTAATTGTAAGTTTTCCAATGACTGATATTTTTCCCATTATTTATTTAACAACAAGTAAGTTTTGTGACAATTTCATTACTTTCATTCATTCATATTAATAGGTACAGTTCGATGAAAATAACTGTAGACGTGACTTGCGTCATATTCTAACGATAAATTAACACTAATGCGCATCTCATGTTTGCAAATATACATTGTATGTAAAAAAAATGTATTGATTGGGTCGTGTACACAATGTTTAATGAAGAATTTAATGTAATTGTTTCAGATCGAGGAGGGTGATCGCGGCCTTTCAGAAATGACCGCGTCCCTCGGAGCAGGTGGCGACAGTGGCGGCGATGCCAATAACCACAACCACGACGGTACGAACAACCGCAACGACGTCTACACGGTTTCAGTAACCGGAGCGTACGATAACAAAGCTTTCAAAGGCGATAGCAACAATGCAGAACCAAAGAAACCACCTCGGGAGATTTCCGACGAAGAAGCCTTCCAGCAGGGTAAATTCAAATTGTCCACCAAAGAGAAATGGCGGATACTCAAGAACATTTCGGCCATATCGTGCGCCTTTATGATCCAATTCACGGCTTTCCAAGGAACGGCGAACCTCCAAAGTAGTATAAACGCAAAGGACGGTCTCGGTACTGTTTCTCTCAGTGCAATCTACGCGGCACTGGTAGTGAGTTGCATATTCGTTCCTACTTTCCTCATTAAAAAACTCACCGTTAAGTGGACATTATGTTTTTCGTTGTTATGTTATGCACCGTACATCGCCGCTCAATTTTACCCCAGATTCTATACGCTAATACCCGCCGGTATACTAGTCGGTATCGGCGCCGCCCCCATGTGGGCTTCGAAGGCCACGTATTTAACCCAAGCCGCCGGCGTTTACGCCAAGCTCACCGATCAAGCGGTTGACGGAATTATCGTCCGGTTCTTCGGATTCTTCTTTTTGGCTTGGCAAACCGCTGAGCTCTGGGGTAATCTCATCTCATCACTAGGTAAGTACATCCATATACAAGCAAAATTCGTACAATCTCTAATCTTCCTTTTTAATTGCTTCAGTATTGAGTAATCCACACGGAGGTGGAGGATCTCACAGCACAAACAGCACGCCCGACTACAGTTTGTGCGGTGCTAATTTCTGCGTTAATACCATCAACAGCAACGACAACTTGGAAAGGCCCGCCGATAAAGAAATCTACGAAATATCCGCGATATACCTGGCTTGCATCGTAGCCGCTGTTATCATCATCGCCGTTGTGGTAGATCCGCTTACAAGGTAACTTATTTATTGCGATACATTTGCGAACGAAAATTATTTGTCGATGAAATTGCTCGCACACCATTGTGTATTCGTTGCGCATTCGAATTAGCGTAGTTTTAAACAATGCTTCGAAATAAAAATGGAAATAATAAAATAACGGCAATAAAATTTATTTAAAGCGCGTGGGTCGGTGAGCGCGTTAAAACGAATTCGACAAATTATCTGTGCTTTTGTCCAGACATAACAAAGTTTGTTTGTTTTAAAAAATCTATTCAGATCAAAATAGAGTTCAATTAGAAATATGATCCTTTCGAATTTCAATATTACACCTTTCTAATTCTATATATCCACAAACTTTTACCAACAACGTTTTCGCAACAAATTCATTTGATCATCTCTTTGATATTAGGTGTATTGCACTCGCGTGCATCATGAAAAAAATTTAGTCGAGATAAGTAATTGCATTGCACATACATCGGTGTTTCCTCATGAAAAGTATTTTCAATGTTGCAAAATGAAAGCCATTAGAGTATGCTTTTGTGGAAATAACCGATTGACCTAAATTTTAAGTGAAGCATTGAATTGATTGCATACGGGCATATCGTTTTTAATAATACCTGAGACAAATTTGTCCTTCGTTATATAATATTCATTAATATTAACAGACATTCGTATACACGGCATAACTTCCCATTGCACTGAAATATACGTAATTAGTGGGTTTTTTTACCTTCAACTCGCCGTTCAATTAGATATGTATTATTCTAGTTTCTGTGTCCTCCCTTGCTAGTTCACTGAGACTGATGATATTATCGTGTGTATGTGCGATTATTTATTACTGGTTTTACTGCAATTTTTATGTACTTGATGACACTTATAGTAATCGCAGAACCTTCGAATAAAATTAATTGTGGCCAATCGAATGAGAAGAATATAAAAAGAAAAAGTTAACCAGGAAACGTTTGTTTGTATCTCTATAAAACACCGCATCTAACGTAAATAATTATCAGAAATATTTTGATTTGATGAGCAATTAAAACCGAATGACTAAATTTTTGTTTGTTTAAAATTAATTATTTATGGTAATCGTTGAAGGCAAGAAACTCGGCATTGAATCCGTTGATTCTTATTTCGAAAAATATTCTCCTAACTTCGAATCTAACTTTCTACGCCGAATGGCGATTAATGCAAATCGAATCGTACGCCTGGCAAATTTTAAATTCAATCATTTTGTTATAAAACACAAAAAGGATTCGGGCTCGGAGCGACCGAGTCGCCGCCACTCCGTCATCTCTTGAATATATTTTTATGTGTCCACCTTTCTCTAACGAAGGTTGGCGTTTCGTTTTTTTGCGATTTATTATTAATGCCGGCAAGGCCGCGTACTTCGATGGAATGTCTCGTTATTTTTTAATTGCTTGTAAACATTAGGTTTGGCAAAGTCCAGTTTATTTACCACAACATATACGGAGCGTTCCATTAATTTAACATTACATCTCTTGCAAGTGTCTTGCACAATTGGTACACTCTGTATATTGATTAAGGTTTCCAACACTCCCATATTATTGTTAGATTGTCAATCAAATAAATACACCTTGCGTTTCTTCGTTAAAGCAGAACAATTTCATGTAAATATAAAAAAATAAGTGATAATTCCCTTTAATGCAATAACAAAAAAAACGAACAATAGGTAATTTCTGCATAGAAAGATTGTCGTCGAGATAACGCGATAATTATGCCATTGGAAAATCGACTTCGAATAATACAATTTTATAGATTGACTTCTTTATTCCCGGAATTTTACGAGCACAATAGACGATATATTTTTTATGTCTCGCACTTTTAATCGAAAATTCTAAGTCGCGTATACAATTTTTAAACTACGGCATTTAGTCGCTTTTTCGCGGTAATATTTTTTAACAATACAATTATTGGAAAAAACCAAATTAATTTATGAGCTAATCGTTTGATTAATATCATCATATTGCTAAAGGAAAAAATTATAACCGTCGTGATGGCATAATTTGTTTCTGAGAACGTTAGAAACTGAATTATGGAGTTTTTTTGAAGACGAGTTTTCACAATCGTCTCCAATTTCATAAACATTGATACTCCAATGTAATAACGAAATTATCCTGAGCATAAACAGAAAATTACCCAGAAAAATTTATTATTTATTTATTATACCCAGAAATTACAAGCTACTAATAATGCGGTTAATAGGTGCCAATTAATTGCATATTTATGAAACGGATTCCAATATATTTTTTGATTTCGCCAACCAGATCTGGTTAATTTTTAATTATCCCGATTGGAATAATTTTAAAATTGCTCAACAATGATACAACGTCATGGTTAATTTGAATTGGAAAAGGCTACCGATAACATCCGGTATAATTGCGTTTTTTTTCGATGTTCGACCGTCGCATAAATACGTTATATACGTTTTGACACTCGAAAGTTTGCGAAATTATTTATGCAAATGTATAAGTAACAGCGAAATAAATGGCTTCTTTTAATACCATCGTGACCCACTTTAAAACTAAGATGGTTTTTTAATTAAGAGTTTTAAATTAGTTTGAGACATAAAAGAACCAACGGGAAGATATGCCATAAAAGTTATCTTGAGCAAGGCCTCTTAACAATAAATTAAGAATACAACCAATTTTTTTCTCATGCCATTAAAATTCTGTAAGTGCAAGGTCGTACCAAAAAGGAGCACCTACCACAATAAAAAAAGTTGCGTACCTACAGGTTCATTACAAATATTTACAGTCTAAATGCTCATTTCCGCAGCTAGTTTATTCGTTGTCTGCATTAGTTGGGGATTAATACATGAAATTTTAAGTACCGCTTGTTGAAAATTGGCACGCCTTTGGCGAATGCAATGCGGATTATAAATATACACATATACACCTCCTGTGGCGCCACAAAAAAAGCAAATTTTTCGACTGGATTTAAACGGTCGGTATTTATTACCACCTTCCAGCAATAATTTCAACGTCTTATCAATTTTCTCCATCTCTTTAATTCCCTCATATTTTCCACACGACTAGACCGTTTTATTAACAGGCCTTTCAGCGTTTCCCCTCGATCCGTATATCGAAGTGAAAGCTCTAACCAATCCATATTTTTAATTCGCAGATACGGCGAAAAGCAGGGTAGACGGGCCAGCCAGCCCGAACTGAGCGGCATCCAATTGCTATCGGCTACAGCCTACCAACTGAAGAAACCCTACCAGCAGCTACTCATCCCCATGACGGTATGGATCGGCATGGAGCAAGCCTTCATCGGGGCCGACTTCACCCAGGCGTACGTCTCCTGCGCCCTCGGCATCCCCTCGGTTGGGTACGTGATGATTTGCTTCGGTTGCGTCAACGCCGTCTGCAGTCTGCTCTTCGGCTCGATCATGAAGTACGTCGGCAGGGCGCCCATCATGGGCCTGGGCGTCCTGGTGCACGGCGGTCTGCAGACGTGGATGTTGATTTGGAGGCCCCATCCCGACACGCCTTTCAAATTCTTCATGGCGGCCGGTCTGTGGGGCGTCGGAGACGCCGTCTGGCAAACCCAAGTAAACGGTATGTAGGATATTTTTTCTTTTTCGTATCAACCGGCTCGATTTTAGAGTCCATTTGCTTACTTTTTATGAGCAATGCTTATTCATCTTACAACGTTAATCATTTTTGCGGTAATTAACGTTTTTTTGAGCAATTTATTCGTGTTTGTCAAGATTTTTTCTGTATTTTTATGAATTACAGTAAATGGCTGTTTATTGGAAACAGTAACTTTAGATAACGCATTGAGTCGATTCATTTTTACATAACCTATTCAATTCTATCGATAAAATTAGCATGGAAAACCTTGGTGTTGAATAATACTCGGTTAGGCTCAAAAAAAGCTTATAAATATTCATTAACACCTATTTATAACATTAGTATATTGATCTATAGGATAGTGATCATATCAAATAGTAAATAGGTTCATATAATAATTAAAAATACATTAAAATTAATTCAAGTAATAGTCATTACGAGTTGCCTAGAAGCAACTTAAGCAGCTGTAAATATCTAATAGTTTCTTCTGTGATACAAATGTATTGCGCAGTCATCAACGAGCAAGCTATTGTATTGTATTAATGCTATCGGGATTTCCGTAATAAATTTCATATAATTCTAAAAAAAAAGTTGAGTTACCGATTCTTGTTTGATTTACCTAGCTGTTTTTAAACAAAGTAAATATTAAACCGATGACTGAATGTATTGATATATTGTATTATAACATCATTTTTTTAAATTAAAATACCTAATTTACTTGTATTAATAGTATAATTATAAAATGTGCATTATTACATAACTAAAATGAATGCTAATTTTTATGTTAGCTAATTACATCCCATAAATCTTTATCTATAAAATATGTACTGAAAACAAAACTCACAATTAAAGGGATTATTAATGTAGACTCGAATGCCAATAAAAAACAGTAATAAACAGCGGCGTGCACAAAGAAATTTATCAAACATTTCCCTGTTTCAGGTCTTTACGGTACCCTCTTCAGGCGCAACAAAGAGGCGGCTTTCTCCAACTACCGTCTTTGGGAGAGCGTGGGCTTCGTCATCGCCTACGCCTATTCGACGCACATTTGCGCCCGAATGAAGCTCTACGTGCAACTCACCGTTCTTATAGTGGGTTTCCTGCTGTACGTCATCGTCGAAATCCACCATCTCCACAAGATCAGAAGGCAGAAGGAGAAAGAACGAAAGGCAGCCGAGGCAGCTAAAAGGAAGGAAATCCTTCCACAGGAGCCGGAAGAGACCGACGACGAGAAGGACGATATCGACGACGAGATTATTGTTACGCATTTGTAAATTAGGTAAACACTTTGTTGAATATTATGCTTTTAATAATATTGTACTGTAAGAACGATCAGGATCATTAGGTTGATTTTTAAAGCCGTGAAAAGGAACAAAACATTCGATTCTGACGTAAGCATTAGAAGAAATTTCAATATATTTTATGTTAAACAAATTTTTGTTCTCGAATCGAAGGCTATGTTTCAATGTTAAATAAGTATTCGATTGCATAATCATATAATAATCCAGTATACAAAATTGCACTGCAAAATAAACGGCTTTTCTAGGTGTATATTAAAAAAATAATTCCTTTTTTTCATATTTCTACATGCTTTCTCTTTATTCATGAGTATTATTTCTTGTTGAATGCATAGTATTATTAAGAAATTATTGTATTGTCGGTGCTAATTTTTTCTTGTGGTTTTTCAGGCATTCCAAATAAATCTTGTGGATTAGCCAAAAATTAATGAAAGGGACCAGTATGGATATTATTGCCTCATTTTTTATATGTTATGCGAAACTGGATGAAAAACGCAATCAATTTATTCGGATCGTAATTGATGTTTTGCACTGCGACGAAAATGGATTATCGATGTTGATTGCCGAGCTCGAATATCTAGCCCGTTTTAGTTGAATATTATGCGTGTTTTACAAATTAGTAAAAGATGAAGCAATCAATTATTAAACTAGGAAAAAGAAATTAATTATTGTATGCGCCTATCTAAAAAAAACCAGTTCGTTAGTGTTGATTGTGAAACTCATTTTAAATTTATTAATTTTTTATGCAGAATTTTCTCGGGAATAAAAAGTGTTAGTATTTACACGTCCTCCAAAGTTCCTATATTTTTTTAATCGCAGATTTTATAACTGTTATGGCTGACCTTACTGAACATTCTTAATGCCAGCTATTTAACAAAGCTTTTAATTAATAAGAACATATTACCATAATCAATAGTTTTCTATATTATATATTAAATGCTTAAATAACTTGTTCAAAGTCTTACATATTCAAGAATTTTCAATATTTAATGACTTGTTGAAATTTTTTCATTTTTCGCAAGCTTTTTATTCGCGAGAAAATGCAAATATTTTTGTTTCTCGAACTATTTTAACAATGAATAGGGTAAAGAGATTTCTTAAAACAATGCTTTTTTGAGATCTCGGAAAATTTGTAAACTTATTTTTGTTTCCCAACATTATTTATATATTTTATTTTCTGATAATTTTAGATGATGTACAGTAATAATATAGATACGTTTGTTAGATTGTATAAAATAGAAATATAAGTATTCAAATTGTATAAATAATCAGTATTCCAAAAGCAATACTATAGAAATAAAAAAATTTAAATTATTTTTTGTTGATGTAATTTTTAAGTTCCTCTTCATTTTATTTAGAATCATACTGACCTATAGTCTTGAAGGAGAAAATGCTTAATTATAAATCAATAATTATGAATTAGGAATAAAAAAGTTGTGTCAATATAATCCTTCGCTTTTGTAAGCGCCTATCAAACCAGGCTATGGTAGTCAAGATAAAAGTAAGTATTTTAACAGTTTCGTTTTTATTTTTATACTATTTTTTTATATTTAAAGTACGTAGATATTATCACATACTCTCTGTGCAATGTTCTTTTTTCATTTTCAAATGAAATACTACGATACGCACTTCAAAATGTATTTAATCAGTTTAACTAAAATCATTTAAGCAACAAAAAATATACAATAACACAAAATTATATAACATCAAAATTTCTTCATTAGATAAACGAATTTATTAATATTATAAGCTTCTGAATAGGCAACATGCTGTTTATTTAAATATAAACCGTATTGTTCTTATTTTCATTTGCTTTTTTGGTTTTGTTTTCCCTCATTTTGGAAACCTGATGTACTGAATCTTTCTTTACCATCTTTAATTTTCTTGTAAAACAGAAACACTCCAGCTGTGACCAATAACACAATCAAAATAACAACCAATATAATAAGAAGCTTACAACAATTATTAAACAGCGTGTCTTCCATGGTGTGTTTTAAAATTAAATCGTGGTAGGTTGTATCAGTTACTACTTCGGTGGTGCCACTAATCATAGTAGAAGCGATTCCATCATCTTCATACTCATCGTCATTGTATAGAGTTGTTATTTCCTCGTAGCTCATCTGGACCTGGTCTATCGGAATTTTGTCCAGTCCCAACATTGTCGTTTTATTTTGTAATAAATTCGTCGGTATGGAGGTCGATCCTTCCGTTACAATTTTTCCTGAGAGCTCCTCCTGGTTAGCCTGATGCATGTTTTCGAAGAACCCGGAGTCGGCTATCTCAGAGGTAATTTGTATTTGAGTTGATTTGATTAAATTTTCTGTAGCAGACACCGTGCTGTCCTGTGTCTCTTCCAGGAGTTTTTTCAGCCAATTGTTCAGAATCTTCGGGTATCCTTTGTCGACTTTGTCGGTGATTGCTTCGTCCTCTTCGATATAGAATTTCGCCTGCTCGATTTCATTAAATGGCCAACCGAGCAGACGATTGAACATTATCGACTAAAGATAAAACAACCTATATTATGTTTAATTAATAAACATTTGTAGGATAACTTGAAATCCACAGAAAATAGATCGTAGGTATAGAGGGAAATATTGGAGTGATTAATAAATTTTACACGATGAGAAATAGGTAGGTACTAAGAAAATTTCCTACTTACTGTGCTTCTATATGATTGCATACTTCGACGATTTAGCAGATACTGACGATCCTTAATAACTCAATCTGATATTTATCAACTTTTAGCATTGCGTTGAATTTTTCAGATATCCAGGAATGTGGCATATTTGTTCCACTACTTTTATGCAATTTCATGATTTAGCATTTAGGATTCAGGATAAATTTTTTGTTCGGACTTTTTTTAACAATTCCTACGCATCAAATAACGATTTTGGTATTTTGTCTCAATCAAGGAATTATGTTATTTTGGAAGTCTATGTTTGAATGTTGAATATGAGGTATTTCATGGCAAATTTTTCTCGGAAATAAAAACTATTAGGTTACCAAATCTCAACGCCCCTCTTAATAGATATATGTTAACCCGTTCCAAAAATGATAATTTTTAAAAACATTTATTTCACAATAATAAGGATAACACGATATTGATAGTGCCGTTGTGGATGCTAACGCTCGGGTGGTGATCGATTCGCAGGATTTCAAAGAAGCGAAATTGGACAGTCAGGTGACGAGGAAATATCTTCCTGCTTTAATGTCTCTGATGGTGGATGATCAAGTGGGATAGTTGAGCTCTAAATGCGTCTGACGACAAACGCGAAGCCGCCTTTACGGCTATAGCTAGAACATTGGGGGCCTGTTCCAGACGCTGTAAAGGCTTATTTACAAGACAGTATTGTATTTAGGAAATAAATTTTTACATATAAATATTGTTTTTTTTAAATAAATAAATAAAACGTTTGAAGGATTTTACATAAAAATGCATTTCGTTTTGAGATTTCTGAAAAATTGACAACGATTATGCATTTATAAGTTTTTAATGACCGAAATACTGGTTGCCTACCTACTAGAGTCCATAAATCGATTTTCGATCAATAAATGTAATTCTGGTTGCCTATCTATTGTATTAGTAAAGCGCGAGTAATAAGTATCAGGAGTAAACCTCTTCACACATTCTGTTCTCCTACTACGAAATTTCAAATTCACGTTTTATTTCGAGATTTGAGCACAAGTTTTCGTCGATCTCCATTGATAAATTTCGGATATTAGGCAATGAGAATATGCAAGGAAGTTCAATATCGGGAGATATTTAGTATATTGAGAGAGATACGTCTAGGGAAGGTCCTGGATGAATCCTGATGCGTTAATAAATATTCTAAGTGTTTCGTCGTTCTTGAAAACACATTTTCAAAGAAAATTTAACATTTTGGGCATTATTAATAATTCTTTATTACAAAAATGATACGAAAATAGAATATTAAAAATTTTTTATGACATCCTTAATCCTGATTCGCAAATTTTTAACGAGAAATTTTCGAACGATGTTCAAAACTATTCTTCCGATTTTTACAAATTGCGTTGAAAAAGGTTGCGTTTTTTTTCAATAAACTCGACAAAACTTTTAACATTTTACTTTCTTATCATTTCTGCTATAAAGTATTAATAATAATGCCCAAAATGATAAATTTCTCTTGAAAATGTGTTTTGAAAAACGACGATAGAATCTTTATTAATGCATCAGGATTCATCCAGGACTTTCCCCAGAAGTACCTCTCGATATAATAAATATCTCCCGATACTGGACTTCCTAGCACATTCTCCTTGCCTAATATCCGAAATTTATCAACGGAGATCGACGAAAACTTGTGCTCAAATCTCGAATTAAAACGTTAATTTAAAATTTCGTATTAGGAGAACAGAATGTGCGAGGAGGTTTACTTATGACGCTTATTAATCGCGCTCCTGCTCGAAACAATACATACAAAGGCAACCATTTAATCGAATTTCGGTAATTCTGGTTGCCTATTTATTGTATTAGTAAAGCGCGAGTAATAAGTATCAGGAGTAAACCTCTTCACACATTCTGCTCTCCTAATACGAATTCTTAAATTCACGTTTTATCGTGAGATTTTCATACGTTTGACACAAACTACTCGAACTCCTAATATTTGTTTCTCCCGATCTTTTTGCTTTAATAACTCTAGCTCTAGCTTTAATGAACGAAAAATACTAAGAATTCTAAAATCAGGATTAAGGATGTCATAAAAAAATTTTAATATTCTATTTTCGTATCACTTTTGTAATAAAGAATTATTAATGATGCCCAAAATGTTAAATTTTCTTTGAAAATGTATTTTCAAGAACGACGAAACACTTAGAATATTTATTAACGCATCAGGATTCATCCAGGACCTTTCCTAGACGTATCTCTCTCAATATACTAAATATCTCCCGATACTGGACTTCCTAGCACATTCTCCTTGCCTAATATCCGAAATTTATCAACGGAGATCGACGAAAACTTGTGCTCAAATCTCGAATTAAAACGTTAATTTAAAATTTCGTATTAGGAGAACAGAATGTGCGAGGAGGTTTACTTATGACGCTTATTAATCGCGCTCCTGCTCGAAACAATACATACAAAGGCAACCATTTAATCGAATTTCGGTAATTCTGGTTGCCTATTTATTGTATTAGTAAAGCGCGAGTAATAAGTATCAGGAGTAAACCTCTTCACACATTCTGCTCTCCTAATACGAATTCTCAAATTCACGTTTTATCGTGAGATTTTCATACGTTTGACACAAACTACTCGAACTTCTAATATTTGTTTCTCCCGATCTTTTTGCTTTAATAACTCTAGCTCTAGCTTTAATGAACGAAAAATACTAAGAATTCTAAAATCAGGATTAAGGATGTCATAAAAAAATTTTAATATTCTATTTTCGTATCACTTTTGTAATAAAGAATTATTAATGATGCCCAAAATGTTAAATTTTCTTTGAAAATGTATTTTCAAGAACGACGAAACACTTAGAATATTTATTAACGCATCAGGATTCATCCAGGACCTTCCCTAGACGTATCTCTCTCAATATACTAAATATCTCCCGATATTGAACTTCCTTGCATATTCTCATTGCCTAATATCCGAAATTTATCAATGGAGATCGACGAAAACTTGTGCTCAAATCTCGAAATAAAACGTGAATTTGAAATTTCGTATTAGGAGAGCAGAATGTATGAAGAGGTTTACTCCTGATACTTATTACTCGCGCTTTACTAATACAATAGGTAGGCAACCAGAATTACAGAAATTTGATTAAACGGTTGCCTTTGTACGTGTTTGTAATCAAAGACGAGCGTGAAAAAAGAAGAAACTAACCTCAATTCAGTCATGTATCCTAGTGTAATGAGTTATTCCGAAAAAGATATTTAAAACAATTAATAAATGAAGAATTCATTAAGATTTACTAACGCAATCAAGAGATTTTATACCAAGATGGCCAACAGTAAGTTCGAATACGTTAAGGACTTTGAAACGCAAGAAAAACTTTTACCCAATAGTTGGATAGTCGTTCGAATAGACGGCAAAGGCTTCCACAAGTTTTCCACTAAGCACAATTTTAACAAGCCCAACGATACGAGAGCCTTGGGCTTAATGAACAGAGCCGCTGCCACTGTTATGAACGAATACAAAGACATAGTTTTGAGCTACGGCGTTAGCGACGAGTACTCCTTCGTTTTGAGAAGACAATGCCCCTTGTACAACAGGAGAAAGGACAAGATAATGACGTATTTAAACAGCCTGTTTACCTCTTCGTACGTGTATTTTTGGAATGAATATTTTCATGATGTTAAGTTGAAGTACCCTCCTTCGTTTGATTCTCGAATAGTGTTGTATCCTACCGACGAGAATTTAAGGGATTATCTAAATTGGAGGCAAGCCGATTGTCACATAAACAATCTGTACAATACTACGTTTTGGTCTCTTATATTAAAAGGAGGGTTAACCAATTGCGAAGCGGAGCAAAAATTGTGCGGAACTGACTCGGCTCACAAAAATGAAATTTTATTCAGCGAATTCGGCATTAACTATAATAATGAACTCGATCTGTTCAAAAAAGGAACCATACTACTCAGAAAGAATATCAAACATCCTCTTCACGAGAAATCGAGACAAGTAGATTAATTTGAAAACGATAAAATCAATCGACTAAATTATATTCTTTCAGGTAATTTATCCATTCCATGAAGATTTAATCAGAGACACGTTTTGGGACAAGAACACTAACATACTACCAGGACAAGTCAGCCAGGAATTTGATTACTCCAGCGTCGATAGACTTCCCGAATTAGTGCTTAAGCAATTGCATTTAAGCGATAAGGTCATTCGCCCTGATGAATCCAAGGACGTTGCCAAAGAGTAGAATCGGAGCTGAATGGAATTCCAATTGCATCTTATCTATATATTATAAAAGAACTTTGAGGTTTCTTTAAAAGAACTGAGGTTTCTTTTATTTGAATATAGTAGGGTGAAGTTAGATAACTTTATCCATATCAGATACACTGATGGGAGTTTAACAACGAATAAAAAACGAATTGATGAGTTATGTTACAAAAATTAGAGACTGGGTCCTTTGAAATAACCTGTCACATATACTTTGAGGTAAGATTATTAAATACTTAGTTTATTTTCGTAAAATATTGTGTAATAAATATATCAAATTAAAAAATAATTTACGAAGCGATACATAGGTACACGTTTTGACTAGAATAAAATTGCAATAATACTTTTAAGATTAAATAATTTTAAAATGTATGAGCATTACGACATACGCCGCACCCTAAAGCAAACTCTTCCCCCGTGGGTGGATGTTTGACGTGAAGTGGGCATTCGTCGCCTTCCAGTTGCTTTGATCTCGGCCCTAAAACAAACGATTCTTAACAAACCATCCCCTAATCGATTCGAAGCGAACAAAATACCTGCTGGACAAGCCGGCAGCTCGTTTTTGGCCAAATTCGTGACTCTCTGGAAATCGTCGTGACAGGGATTGCAGAAATGCGTCGTACCGAAGCAGAAGAACACCGCCACGGAACAACAGTACCGGCATTTGTACTCCAAGAAATCGGTGCCGTGCTTGGGGCACATTTGCGCGCGCGCCACGTCCGAGCAAGCGCCGCAAACCAGCTCCTTCGGGTCGTAGCTCTCCGCCATTTCGGCGTCGCATCTCGCCTCACCACCGTAGTAAGCCTGCGAGCAAAAATACGTACACTCAACATGGAAGATTAGCGTTGATTCGGATAGTACCGACCTTTTTGCATTTAAAGCACACGTAGTACGCGTATCTGTCCATAGCGTAAGAGGCAGGCTCGTTGTAAAATCGAGACCCTTGCGTTGTGACGGCTTCGATAGTGTGCAAGCCTTCGTATTCCAATCGCATCAGCGCTTTCCTTCGCACGTCTTTGAACAGATCAAGTATCGGCGTCAGAATGTCGGTTAGGGTTTCGTGTTTTATTTCCTCCTAAAGATTCGCTACGATTAATAATAACGCTTACAAACATTAGTGTTAACTTACTTTGCAAATCGGGCACAATATAAAGGAGAATGTAATCCTAGGACCGATCCATCTCTTCATTAAAACAGTCTTGCAGCAATGCAAATGGAACACGTGGCCGCATCCGAGCTAGAAGAAACGATTTTTTTTGTAAATTTAATATTAAACGTAGAGGTTTCCATCTGACCTGTATGGCGGGAGCGCATGACAACGCTTCGGTAAAGCAAATCATGCACATGTCGTCCGCATCTTGTCTCAGGCTGCCGTCGCCGGAACAACCGTGCAAACACGGCAGGCATTTACTTTCTCCCAACACTCCTCCGCACATGTGGCCGCAACTCAAGATTTTACAGCACGCCGTTCGACCGTATTCCTTCGACAAACGCGTAAAACGATTAAATAACAGTTTAAGGATTGTAAATAGCGAGTTTTTACTTGGCATTCGTGGTCCGCGCAAACGTTCCCGATGGCCAGGAGACCGGAGTTGCCGCAAGTGCCGCAAAACCGGCACACGCCGCTCATTCCCACGGTCTTGCTCCTGGCGCCGCCGTCCCTGAATTCGATAAGGGCCTTCAAGGTTCTCGGATCGGCCAGGGCGAGCAACCAGAAGAGCTTCGTCCGGCCGCAGCCTTCGTGCAACTCCACCTTGATGGCCTCCTCTTCCTCCTTGCAAACCTGCCGTTGATGGTGCCTGGTTTTCCTGTGCAAATGTAGATATCTGTCGCAATCGGCGCACAGATTTCCGCAATGGGTGCATTGAATTACGGCTATGGTTTCGCCGTCGTCGTGGTTGCAACAAGTCGGTCTCGGTTGCACCGGTTGCCCTTCCGGTTGGCTCCATTGTCCTACAATTTCATATGCTATATAAGAGAATTCACTTAATTATTAACTGAGTAACTTACCGGATGTTAGACGTTCCACGTGGTCTTCGTCCAGGACGCAAAGAGAGGCCAACGCCAGCCACAACGTGGGCGTTCTTAAGCAAACGGAAGCCACTCTCTGATCTTCGGATAAATAAGTCAAATGCAGTATGTTCTCGGCTATGGCGCCTTTAGTTATGTTAGCCCAGCATTCCGATAACTTTCCCTAAATAAAAAACACCGTTAACGCGAGTACTAAAGTAGCTAGAGTTACTTACAGCGGCCATATCTTTGATGAGGTGAATGATAACTTCTGATAGTTTTTTGCTAACAGCGCCTCTTAACCACCACCTTACGCCGAGCGCGTCTCTCGGTTGTATCGACGTAGCTAATGTAACCGTAGTGATTTCTTTAGGCGTAACTCCCGCGCCGGTTTTACCTCTAACTTTTACTTGGAGCGTAAGCGCTTTCGCTATCACGCTTAGAAACACATCCAAAATTCCCAACCTAGCGAATCGAGCAGAATTAATAACGAGGCAAATGTTGCGTTAATAAAAACTTACTGGTTCACATCGAAATTGCTACTCATCGATTCCTTATTAACCGCCGAAACGATGCTGAAATCTCTCGCTGGCAATTTGCGAACTCCCACAACTCTAGCGAAAGCTTCAGGCGTTATTTCTGGCAAAATTCTCCTTAACAAAGACGTTACTTGTCTTTGTACGCGGGCGCTACCGGTGTGCAGCAAAGTTAATATATCTCCCAGCAAGTCCGTTTGATGGGATAAATATTTCCTCCCCACGGAACTCCCGGATAGCGCTAAAACCATCGACAACATTTCGAAGCAATATGTATCGGAGCTTTTCGTCCCGTCTTGACTTTGATTCGAATACCCGGAAGAAGTAGAAAGATTCGATTCCCATTCGTCGTGCACCCTCTCCGTTTCTTTCCTAATAGCTTGTACGATATGAACGATTACCTAAGAAAAATTCAACAAATCAGGTTGTATAGCGATTTAGTCGAGCTCGACTAAAGCGAGCGAGACCTTAGTTATGGATATCAGTCAGGATAATTATTTCAGCGTAGATTGAATGTTGTAGTTACCTGTTTTTGTAAGTGAGTCAATTTACTTCTGCTGAACAATATACCGACGACGTGTTCTCTCAAATCGTTGCTCTCTTCGTTCGGATCGACGTTCTCGCTGATGGAGTTGGAACCGTTCGGTAAATCGCCGTTGGCTTCTTCGCCTTGCAGGAGTTTACCGAATACTTGGGACGTTATCAGTCTGAACACGCGCAGGGTTTCCGCCTCGCAGTATTTCTGTTGCAACGTACTCGCGGCATATTGCTTTCCGGTTTTCATGCTCTCGCCTTCAACGTTGCCGAGCACTCGGATTTGCCTCACTCTGACGGAATTATCCGGTCCTTTCAACTCGAGTTTCAACACGTTGTGAGATTGATCTGCGATTTGACAAATACGATTAACTTCTTGCGGCTCTGTAATGGTTCGCCGAGTAACTTACCTGTTAAAGGGCAACTGACCCAACCGCCGAGTAGCCGTGTTTCAACTTCAACCGTTCGTAGTTTGATTAGCTCATCAATGTGTTGACCCGAGTAGAATATTATGGAAGATATCTTGTTCTGAAATAATTTAAGTACTATATGATCGATGATTAAGATGTTAATACTGACCCCTAAATCTCTGCAATTGTCGATGTGAACGCTTATCAAAACAGGACGGTGTCCTTGCGGGCACATGATAGTTAAACTTTTCGTCTTGTTTCTATCCTCGTCGCCCGATTCCCAAAAGGTTTCGGTAGAATTATCCGTCAAACTACCGATCATAGCTTGCCTGCTCGACGCTTTGATCTCCAACGAATTAGTCAAATCCTTCAAACACTCCACGAGCGAAGTTATCTGATGGGTCACACTCTGGTGACTTTCGTGCATAGACACATTAAAGTCCTCCATTTCTTCGCTCCTGGATAGGATCTTGCTAATGTTGCTAAACACCTACGAACACGTAAAATTATTCAATAGACAGTTAAACGATAGAACCGCGAATCTACCTGCGATCTATGAAGAAACGTGTGATCGGAAGTCGCGAACCTTATACCCCAGCATCTCACTGCAATTTGCTGCAACGGCGAACTCATCGGTAGCAGCACCATCAAATCCGCTATCGTCTGCAGAAGAGCGTGGAAAATTTTCGGTAAAGGATGCACCGCCTCGCCCGCTATAGTAATATCCGACAAGGGATGTTCGCAAACGTTCAACTCCTGCAAAACCTCGCTATCAAAGGGTTACAGATTCGTTGTAGGTTACTTACGAGTTCATCTTCTCTTCGCGGTAGATGATTGTCGTCTTCTGGCTCGACGTCCATTTCAACAGGAGTTAGAGACGTCACGAACCACCACAATAAATCGTGAATGCAGACGGGTTGGGTCACCGATCGCAGTAACCAGTTGAGCGCTTGCATGGCGTACACTCTGCACATAGCTTTCCTGGAAATAAGTCGGGTTAGTCGGGATTAAGGATTAAGGAGTTAAACGATTACCTGAGGGCTTGTTTCATCGCGAGATGCAACGATTCGAGATCGTGGTGGTGCATCAAAAATTGCAATACCGGTCTTTCTAAAAGCGCCAGACTTTCTGCGTTTGCGTCATGGTCCGTATCCGTTCTGACAATGGCCGATGAAGGGTTGTCTTTTTTGGGAATCAACTTCTGCAGAGCGTTGGAGGGATTGCAAAGAAGCGACGATCCACCTTCTGATAGAATTAGGGTGCGATTAAAAGAAACGATGTAAATTCGACGAACATTTACCATTAACGATTTCGCAACTGCTGTTATTCCGCTTCCTCATCATGATAATTCGTCCATCGTACCCAGATTTCGACCAAGGAATGCCGTTAGTTCCCATCGAAACGGATCGATGGAACCTCATTCCTTTCACCCCGTCCATATCTTCGCTGATCGATATCTCCGATAAGGGCTGTAAAACAAACCTTCGAAGTCTCTTTACTAAATGTATCGCGTTATTACCCTTTCTCGTCCCGTCGCGGACGGACCAGCAGGGAAATTATCCGGACACTCGTGCTTGTGCATCATCTCCCCGTAGATCCCGGGCTCGTCGGAAACCGGATTGGCTCCGAAGGAATTTAAGCATTGAAACGAAGGCGGCGGTCGGAACGGGCCGCAGTAATCCAAAGGCGATATATTCTCCGATACAGACGGCATCGTACTCGACGAAGATCTCCTCTGGTGGCCCATCGTCGCCTCCGAAGAACTGGCCAAATCCAGCAGGAACATCGCGTTGTTTTTCATTATAATGTGCGGTTCCAAATTAGCAGTTACCACCAACGAAGAGAACGATTTAGCCGGTACGTTTTTCTTACTAACAGTCGGTTTGTGGTGGGCGTTCGATTGCTTGCCGGTTCTGATCGATTTCATGTACTTTTCTCGACAAGTTTCGCATAGCAAGTACCAGGAACTTCCAGCTTAAAAATTTAACGAATTTATCGAGATGCAGTGTTCGTATAATTAATGCGCTTACGGATTCCGCCGTCTCCGCAATTTCCGGCCCAACCTAAGCAGTAACTCCCGCCGGAATTGTATCCCTTGCCGCCGGCGTGTTGCCCGCACCCGGGATGGTTTTGGTGCATGTGGTAGGTAACCGGATGAGGAAACGAATCGCCGCACAATTCGCACAACGTCTCAACGCCGGAGGATTGAAGGTAGCCCGATAGACCGCCTAAATCTTCTACAAAGCGATACATTAATGTTAATATCGTTAATTTCAACTGTAAGTGCGTACCTAAGTAATTCCTAGGCGGAATTTTCTTCTTCCTGTATTTCTTAATCTCTCTCTCCAAGTGATTGTTCTTCTCCCGTTCGGTTTTGTCGTCTTTTTTTCCTTTGTGGTTGATGGGACTGTGCGAGGCGAGTTGTTGGTTCGTGGCTTTCAGGCAGTTCGAGGTGAGCTCTTCCCACAGATACACCAGCGCCTTCAAAGCCGGCGGTAGAACGGAGATGGTTTGATAACCGTACGCGTCGTAGGTTTGTCCTTCTTCCTTTATGACGCCCTCGTTCGGTTTCTTTCGGTTGCGATTGGCGCTGGCGTTCGCCGCCGATCTCGTCAGCGATTCCAAAGTCGATGGTTGAATGTGCAAATAATGGCCGGCGTTGCTCACTTCCACCGAATGCCTTTGCCTAGCCTTCTCTTCCCTGCTCAGCTCCTTTTGTCTCTTGTCGACCGGCAGGTCCTGGTGCCTGGTGACCACTAAAGCGCCTTGTTTCGGCAACGTGGGGTGGAATTTGAGGAAGGACGCGCACGCCATCGCGTCGTGGACGATACCTGAGAAATATTTTTACTAAAGCCGATAGATAATTACTAATTGAAGTTACCTTCGTGCCAGAGGAAAGCGGCGAACACCGCCCTCAGCGATTCCGCCACGGATGGACTCATGGCTTGCTTCACGTTGTCGTAGGCGTAATTCGCTTTCGAATTGGACGGTAACTGTTGCAAATTCGCCGGCGATATGGCCCTCTTCGGCCGGATTTTAGACATGTTTCGGTCTTTCCGCGACAATTTCGGAGACACCTTTTCCTCTCTGCCCACGGCGCCTATCGAAAAGTTCGTCTTCACTACCGAGCTCGCCCCGTTTTCCGGCGACGTTTGGGTGCCCGTTTGCATCAACTTTTTCGGACTATGCTCGACGTCCTTAACAAAAAAATATCAGTACACAAAGTATATCAGATTCATATGAAAATCCTTACCGATTCTCCCTTCGAGTGCATGGCATGAAGAGGACTAGAACCCGATCTGGTATGAAAGGAACTGCTGCTGGGTGTAGGTGATGTTTCTCTCAAATGCGTTGTAGCTTGACTGGGCGATTGAGATGCATCTCTGGGAATGCTACTCACCATTGCGCTGGTATCGGATTGATTAGAACCTCTTCTGGCACTCGACTCAAATCCTGTTCCACTGACTGTAAATTATAGGAATATTATTTGCATCGATTACGATGTACATTAAAAATTGTACCTAATGGTGACATTACTACACTTTTAGAGGACCCTAATGGTTGGGGACTACCGCTACTTTCTGCCGCGGCGTTGGGATGACCTATTAAATAATTGATTTTAAATAGTTAATATTTATTAGTGAAGTATTAGTACTCACTTGCGATTGGAACGGGACTGGAGCTACGGTTAGATATTTTGGAAGATGACATTAAAACTCTCGGACTCTGCGAACGTTTCGGCGTATCAGGCGGAGTGATACCGTTACCGTTTACGCTGCTTTCGCTGTGCATCTTCGCAGATTGGCTGTTATTGCGCTCCGAAGAATCACTAGAAACGCATTAAATTCGTATGCTACATGTAAAATTTAAATGAATCTTACCTTTTTCCTTCGTCTCCTTTGAACCACTTGGGCAGTCCACTCAATTTCCCTTCCTTTTTCTCTTTTTTGGGCGTTTTCGAGTAGTCCAACTGGGCTCCCTCGCCGAAAACGAACGGATTCGTCGGCAGGAGCTCCTCGGCTTCGATGGAACTCTGTCCGGAAAATAAAAAATTCGCTTCGGTCTGCTTGAGGGTGAAATTGAAGCCGCGCTTTTGCTTGCGCGCCGGATCGTCGGGCGCGAATTTCGAGCCGCCTTCGATGTCGTTGACGTTGCCCAAGTACAGGGCGTTGTTGTGGCCGACTGCCAATGACCAGGCCTCATTTTCCGCGGCGAAGCAGTACTTTTCTTTGGTCGTTTTGTCTAATTTCACCCAACAACCGTCCGAGTTCACCGTGTACTCCGATACTCCTATTCGGTTTCCTAAGGCCAGCATGCCTACGGGAGGCGCTTTGAAACTGGGTCTGCTGCGAACGTTATGCCCGGAGGCGCCGCATTTTATCACTTGGTAGCTTGTGTTCAAATTAGGAGACTTGTGACTGAAAATTTTCAAAAATATAATTAATAAGTAGTGCATAAATTATTAATTATACCGGTCGTAGTGCTCCGGTGAATTACGCACGACTGGTTGATCCAACATCGTTTTCGGCTCCTCCACTGGTAGTAACAAAGTTTTACCCAAATGCTGGTTGTATTGCAAACACCAAGCTTCTGTAATGCTGGTACTGCAATATTGCTTTATCGTTTCTATGGACAATCTCAACCAAACTCCATCATCGTTGTGAATCTAACAAAATCATTAAAATTACTAATTGGATCCGTTAGAGAAACGAAATTTAACCACCTCATCGATGAACGCTATTGTACCGTTCACGTGAACAACGCCGATTTGCTCGCTCTGCAACGATGGATGCGCTCTGATCCTCAAACCGGCCGAATTCTTCGCCACGAACCTCCTCAACTTGCTCGGCTGGTGCTGCGATTTCTTCGAAAGATTCTGATTAGGAGGAGTCATTCCTTGAGGGGACTCCTTCACTTCCACTCTAAAAATCTAAAAGGGGACGTCGATGATTCACTAAATATTAGATGCTTGAGCTAAAGTCCTTTAAGAAGGACTCTACTTGGGCATCCATTAAGAACATAAGAGTGTTTAGGATTAGTTACTTCTTCCATATCGTATCCATCGATGTTGACCAAAATAGAGTAGCATCCAACAGATGCAGGTGTCCAAGTGGCGTTGTAGGAACCGTCGGAATTCGATCGCACCAGCATATTTTCGCCGGAGCGTTTGATCGGCGGCGAAGTGTAACGTAGTTCTTCGAAGGAGTAGTTCTGGAAAGCCTAGACGATTGATTTAATGAACTGTTTACTTCTATAGCTTTCACGAATGTACCTTCATGACGGTAATCGAGTGAAAGCACATCTTATCCCTGATGGTGGGTTCGTAGGGCAAGTGCAAAGGCGGTGGCGGTAAACCACCGTAGGTCAACATATCAGGCTGGCTAATCCGCCTGATTTTCCTCCCAACGTCCCCATCGCCTATTTCCTTCTTATCAGTAGGCACCGCCTTGACTTCTACTTTCATATTCGGCACGAAAACCATATCGCCGTACTGATCCCTACATCAAACTCGATTGAACAAACAAACTGGGCAGGAGACTTTAGATCTATACCTTGTAATGACCATAATAACAGCGGGCCATCCGCACCTCAAATCGTCCCGCGAATAGACCACCTGGCATTTCGTCGGATCCACTCTGCTCCCGGGCTGGAGCCATTGGGCCAACCGGCCGCCGCTCGAGCCGGCCACGCAGTTCACGAAGTCCCTTAGGAACAGCTTCTCGTTGGAGTGGACGCTGCGACATAAACGAGAAATTCCAATTAACCCGTACGGCCCTTAATTACCCCGACCGTACGCGACAGGAATTGACTTGTCGCCCCGGGTCGAACCGTTTCTTTAGTTACGCTTAGGCCAATGCTTCCTTTCTCACAACAAAGAACTTGTGAGAAACGCGATGGTTATCGGGAGAGCCGAGATAGATGCTGGTGCACCAGCCGCTACAGGGCCGTAATTAAACGAATCGTTCGCGCTAGGGAATTCGGGACTGTCGCGGCGGATTTTCAGCAGCGCCGGTTCGAAATAAGCGAGTGCGGTCCTGGGTAACCCCACTAGAAAGAGCCGGACATGCCTACAGCGCGGAGATCGGAGATCGACATCGACGGCGGCTTAAGTGGAGTCTCAACACTGTGGAAGTTCGGTCTGCACTGCGTTCGGCTGTGAATGATATTTTCAAATCGAACGCTCGATGGTTGAAGGGCGACGTCGAATTCGAAGGGGTCTAACGCGGCGTTAGGTTTGCAATATGAATGGAAAACATGGGTGTGCATTGGTTCATCGTGTTGTGGATGTTTTTTTGTGTTCGCCCGTTCGGATTTGTGTCTGTCGCGGCCCAAACGGCATCTTCGATGTGCAACATACAGGAGTGCAACTGTACTGTTAAGGCAGCTCCTTGGATAGTAATTAACTGCAGTTTAAGCGAGGGACAGGCAAGTGCGCTTCATATGTAATTAACGTTCACATAAAACGTATAAAATCATCTTATTTGTAAGGCATCTTGAATTACTTGGTTTCTTTTAATTTGATTTTTAACGTTTGCACTATTTATAGCGTATTTTTATTGTGTAAATGGAAATACTTTAACGGCTGTTGTATTCTACAACAAACCTTTTCAAAATTCAGGTAAATATTTCGTGTAAGGGCGCACCCTCTATATCTGTTTAAACGACCCTTTTCAAAAAACTCCGTTTACAAGTACATACACGATTTTACCAACCTCAACGTTTAAGATTTTTAACATCACAACGCAATCCTTTTTCTACTTATATCAAGATAAATTTTTCGTCACGACTCGATACAAATACTCGTATACATTTTAGCGAAAACCGTGGTATAAAAATAAAGTTTTCCTAGCCCGATTAATGATCAATAATCTGCGGTTTAGTTGGCAAACTATCAAATATTCCAAAAATATTCATTCGGACATTCATCTGCATATTCAAATTCAGAAAACTGCGACTGCAAATAATTACAACACTAATGCAATTGCTTAGTTTTGAATGTTTACCAGGTAAATTACGCAATTAAAACCCACAAGTTTTATGCTGAATGTGATTATTTGTGTTAACAACGCGTATTTTTATCCCTCTATCATTAAATACTGAATATCCCAGAAGTCTAGATTTATTTTAGCGTTATCTCTTCATTCTTTTATTATTTTTTAAACTATATGTATCAATAACATAACGATGTCATTCATGCGAGATTTGTTTAATTACTTATTGATAAACAGTTGCTTGGCTTTTGACCCCAAAACTAGGGTTTTAGCGATAAAGTGAATTAGAAAATTACATTTTTACCTATCTGCTTAGGTTTATGCGAGAGAATCCATTAGAAATCAACGCTCGATTGAGTTTTTTTTTGCAAATAACGAAACCATTAAAGATAAAGCAATAATTATAGAGTGAGTTATCTCCATATCATTTACCACAATTCCTCACATACTTTCTAAATATCAGCACAAATGTAAAAAAAGGTTCACAAAGCGTCAGCCTTCTTATCGAACTTGGGGCGATGAATTATTAATGTCGCGATAGAAAAATCCTGAATGTGATAACAGCCTAGCCGGTGAATTCTTATTAGAGACACTCTAATATTGTATGTTAATTGCCGCATGAAGAGGAAGTTTCGAGTTTCCCCGTTACAAAAAATGATTTTTAATTGTTACCGACCGTATTTCCTTCATTATGATACGAAATTAATTAGGCGCTTAAAAAATATTGTGTTGCAAACTAACTCATGAATTATTCGATTAATGTGATAAGTGATGATAATACAATAAGTAATAAGTTTGTTGATTATTGTTGGTAATTTGTAAATAGGTATTAAGCACACCAGTGATGCACTACATTAGTCACATGCAAGTGGAATAATAATGCTAAAGTATGATAAAAAGAATTAATCAACATAACAGTTGATAGGTATTTTAAAAATTAATGGAAATTAATAACTTAATCATTGATAGGCTTTTTATTGTAAATTTTAGACAATTTATTAAAAAATGTATGATTAATAGAGATAAATAGCATTAAAGATAAATGTTATCTTGGAATTGCCTACATTATATATCCTTTTTTTTTGCATAGTTTCTAACTAAAGAACGAATTTCCGCAACGATGATTAATTAATGAATGAATCACAGAGTTGAAATATTTAAGATTCATTAATTATTTTCAACCAGTTTTTTAGCGCAATAGAAAATTTTAAACATTTATTGGGAGCAATAAAATATTTACATTTGGTACATTCAACCTAACATAAATCACAAGTATTTACAGATTGGTTTGTACGATATACATACATAAATCGAAATTGCTTAACTTTTCCAGGTCATCGTCTTAAAACTTTAAATTTTCGTTTTCCAAAAAGCCAATAAACAGAAATTGCCAGATAAAAGATAAATTAAGAGCTAATTGACATAATTCTCTTTTCGTTAGCACTATGTCCTTTCCGCTATAAAGTTCTCTCGTCACATTCTTTTCTACAAATTACCTACTTATTATTCACGTTACATCACGCTATTATCGTTTTAATTTCGGCTAATTAATTACGCAAATAAAAACAAATTGCAAACACCTAATGAATCTATAAATACATGTAAACACGAACTCGAGTTAGAATTATTTGACTGAATTCGAAATTTTGTTGAGACTACAACTCAAACAACAACACGAAACCGTAATAAATAAGTACCCTATAAAGTGTGTACCTACTCGCATCCGGTCGTATAAAACAAGGGACAACCAAATCTACCACTGTAATCACACGAAAAAATGTTTAAAAACCACACAAGGCTAACATTCCTAGTTAATATGCCGGCTGAACGTACGGCATTGTTATCTTTGGTCATATGATATATTGAAAATTCGACAATAAAAGGACTTCCTCGGGCGGGCGGCGGCGCCTCTCTGACCGGATGACACCGCCGATGGAAGTGATAGAAGCGGTTGCGAAGTTGCGTTGTGTTATGAGAAACAGAACGGTGTCTTGTCTTTGAAAAGGTTTCCGAGAACTTCCAACTTTCAGAAGAAACCGATAGCTTTTTTTCACAGGCAGTTAGTGCGAGCTTTGTTCTTGTAGATGCAATCGAGGTTTCGTCTCGGATTTCGGTGTTGTAAACGGTAATTGGTGTATATTTTCATTCGATTTGAACTTCCGCTCGACGTAACGACTACTATGGAACAGTTTTAGCAGCGCCCGTTTGCGCGTTTTCTCTGCTCGATTGCCATCAATTCTCTCCTTCAGCTGGCGACTGACGTTAGTGTATACATTCCAGATACAACCCCCCCGTTAAAAGAACAATCGTTTATTTTCATGCAGCCCGTAATGGAAACAAATTTTCTCCGAAAATCCAAAGCGATATATCTCTAAATAGAAGTTGACAGGGCTCTTCAACAAATGTAACTATCTTGTAACTATATTCTAGAATATTGAACTAAAAGCGTGAATTTTTAAAAATCAGGAAAGCTTTGTGCTCTTTGTGTTTATACACGGGTGACCTAAAAAAGAGTGTATCTGTTTTATGTCTCCGGTAATCGGGCATTTGAGTTTCATCGCAGGCGTGTACTTACCGCATGTGATACACTTTTAGAGATTTTTAATATTAAAATATTTACAACAGCTGAAACTGTAATAGGTATGTGAGAGATTCAGCCAGCTTGTCTGCTTTCAATCAATTTATGATTTTTTTTAATATTAGATACACATGCATAGATTTTGAATATTCTTAAACAGGATGTAATTTAGTTAGTTTTTATCTTACCAAAAATAAATAATTTAAGTATAAAATTTTATTGGATAAGACCAAAACGGCCTACAAATAAAGACTCATAAAAGAATCCTGTGTTTGTTTAAAAAAGTTTCTGATATCTCGCACATTTAATTTGCGTAATTGCTTTTTCGGTGCTACGTTACAGAATGTGCTGTAATGAAATTGCGCACTGTACTTTGCTAAAAATTGCACATTCAGCCCCTTGCCAGATTAGCGTTTCCATTGCAAGTTGTTTGATTCTCACGCTTAAAACAGAAATACTTCATTTACTTCTCAGAAATTTCTTCCTCTGTTAAAATGTTTATAGATCTGCAAATTACCGAGCCATTTTATATGTACATTTTTTACGATACTCTTAAATAAACACTTGATTTTCGTTGATATTAAAGATTTAGTTGACGTCTAAAGTATTTTTAACGAACCATTTATACATTTTAGTTGGACTATAAATGAAACTTGAGAGCGTTAAATTTGACCTAAAAATAAATATTTTTTAAATATGACAAACGACCAATAGATGAGATTTTTATTAGACCTGACTTTTTGTCTAAAAATATTTCCCACCCCGTTCATGACTCATTAAAATCGGGCTTTCTGTGCGCGAAATGAAACGTGCACGGACGGTAGACGAAACTAAAATTAAACATTGTGTGAAATGCGTCCGAATTCCCGAACTACGAAGGAAGAAACTCGTGCACGGTACTTTTATTGCTCGATTTACGGGAGATGCGGAGAAAATACACCGATGAATTTGTATAACTGCTCACCGACTGTTCTATTTCTTTACACAATATTCTCGAGCGCCATACAATACTGTTTACATTACGAAAATTGATTCTTTATCGAGGTGTAATCCGTGATCTGTTTAAAATTTATGTTTAATATTTTGTTATTAGCATGAGTTTATTATTATTTCCATTATTTATAAGTGAGCCAATCCATTGACTCACGGCATTTGAAAATATTTTAGAAATATACTCATCGGGATTTACTCGATCATCATCACACTCTTTGATATTTATTTACCTACCTAAATTTCATTCACAAAGTATTCGGCAAGTAAAAATAGATCTTCTACACAAACATTGTAATCGCGTAACGAACCGGAAATTCTACTCTGCCATCCGAAATTTTTATTAACTTAATTATTTAGTGTTCACTCCGTCACGGTTGCTATTTATTCCATGCATTAGAAATTGCGTTATTGTAGGTATGGAAATTGCGAAATTTTAAACGATTCGATTAATATAATATCAACAATTCATACACTATATCAATAATAATTAATAGCTCAGATAAATATGCGCATAACAAAGCGGTTTCTTATGTAACAGAAACTTATTTGAGCCTAATTAATTTCAACATATCGAAATTTATGGAATCGTTTCCCGATAAAATTAGAGTTTTCATTCGTGATAGAACTGCGTGTAATTTTGTGTTCAAGTTTTCCCAACTATTACGAGTACGAATTCGGTCAAGAACATGTTAACAATCATTAAATGGAATTAAAATTGAGCAACATTTGACTCGGTGCGCGTTTAATGCGTATCGATGTGAAATAAATCGGATCGGGTTGATTAGTATTCCACATTTACATTATGGATTCTGACCGGGAGTCATTGTGACCGCAAACAGGTTTTCATCCTGTTTGGTTCTGTACCATTAATTATGGTGGTAATGACCGCCTCTTTTTCATAAGTAACGTTTACTAGAAGGCTCGAAAGAGCCGTTCCACACTGGTTTCTTTACCTGTAACTAAGTTTTATTGCTGCTACGAAGCGGGATCTGTTAGCAAAAAGCAGCTTTTTGATAATCATGAAATATGAGAAAGTTCCGAAGATATCGAACAGACCGTTCCTTCACCTGCAATTATTCCATTAAATTCTGGTTTTTTTCTTTAAGTTTTAAACTTGACTTTCACTTCCACTTTCATTGTTTCATTCGATTCGAATCGAGCGTAAGATTATTAAATTGATTTAGCGTTTCCTCGCTTTTGTTTTCTTTTGACGAGATTCCTCTTAAAGAAATGCTTTCCGAACGTTCGTGCCTCGTTTCAATTAAAATAAGAAGAGCAATAATAGCGAATTTCCTTGCGAAGAGTTAGTTCATACTTAAGAAATCAAGCTTGCAATTACAGTAAAAATAAAAAACGGGAAATGTATATTCTGTGAAACGTTTTGCAATATCGCTTATCGCACACAATGCAGACTTAAGTGACTCATTTCTCATGCGTGTTTGTTCACTTATTAACAATTTTATACTAAATGATAATTAAATTTTTTATTTCTTCGTACGTTTATAACCATTATTAGCGCGAACGACAATGATAGCGCATTTAAAAAAATAACGTATGCGTTTATATCCTGTCGACATTTTATAATGATCAGTGATTAGAAAAACTGGGTAGTGGAAGGTCGTTACAGCGCAATACATACAGGGTGGTCCACGCTATCTCTTGAATTTAGTGATACATGTTTTTTCGTTATTGCCAAGACAATTTAGTGCGTTGCGATTCTTTTTATAAAACCGACTTCACCTTCATTCATTGGCCGCTTCAATTGAAGCACTCTCTGGGTCATCGGTTCGATCTTCACGCTCGTTAACCTTTCACACGAATTAAACGTAATAAAGACAGTACACGTCGTTATTGTAATCTTCCGCCCTCATGAAATACGATTCGTCTCGAATGCTTGTATCAGCAGATGCGCCTGCAAAGTACACTGTACCTTCGGTAAATTACGCACTTAATGGAATTTAAAAATAGACCCTTCTTTTCTCGGTACGAGTATAAAATAGCTGGAAAATTGCCTAGCGCGATTTTCTGGAAAATCATAAAATTATTACAGGCGTGGTTGCAGCTTGAATGTTCTCTACAGGATTTGTTGTTTTTGTTTCCGCGTTACGAGCGAACGATTTTTTTGTGTACTCCACACAATAATAAATCCTCGCGATAAACTGAACTATATTAGTTCGGAGTTTCTTCTCGAATTATTACACTTACTATAATTTAATGCGAATCTACGATTAAGCCCGACACTCCCCGTTTTGTTAATCGGCTGGGATATCAATTCAACATGATAAATTGCATTAACCTTTCGCGAACCGAGAATACTGAAGATATAGTCTATCAATATTGAAGTAGAACGCGAGGCAAACCCATTGAAATAGAGTATTTGTCGAATTAAAAAAAAAAAGTATACTCGAGCACATACTTCCTTTTAAAAGATATGTACGTAATTAGCCAATTTGCGATGCATGTTGAAATCAATGTGTTTACGCGATAAAATGAAGTATGTACCCAGATATTAATTTGTTGATGTATTTAGGATTCAAGGAAGTCGCACGATTTTGGTAATTAGAATAGTGCCCTTATTGCTTTTGCTTTTATAAGCACATTAATTGAATGCAGCAAAAAAGTAATTATATGAATTTTGCAGGTTGTGAATACGAAATACGTCCACGTTCCGGAAACTGCGATCGAAATCTTCATAAATGGCGGTCGAGAGGTGATTTTCTCGACGACAACATTCAAAGGCATGCCCGGATTGAATCTCATTCGCATGAACGGAGTGAGAAGGATCTGGATGGAGAAGAAGTCCTTTTATTTAATTAACTCTTCTAGTCTACTAATTCAAATAAAAAACTGTGATGAACTTATTATTAAGACTGGTGCGTTTGAACAGTTACAGGTAAGAGAATTACTTAGTTTCTATTTAATTATATCCGTGATTTTCTCTTCCCGTAATCAAATTTGTCGTAGTTAACGTAATTTATAGTACTCATTTGTGTGTGGTTGTTGTAAGTACCCACTTTCTTTTTTGTCGGGTAGTTAAACATCTGTTTTAAACGCTTTTCTATCAAGAATCCCTAATTTTAATTAACAATATTCTGATGTAGTTCGAGGCCTTTTTATACTGGTATATAAATAGATTCTATTTTGAAGTACAAAAGGAAGAAAAAGTTTGTTCTTCACAGATGGCCGTGCCGTATACCGGGAAGAAAAATTCATGTAGCATTGCCTTATTGAAATAACATTACGTACAAATTAATCCGAGACGTTATCTAACCGATAATACAACGGTGAATTCATTCTAATTGGTCGCGATTGCGTTAATTTGTACAAGTTTATTCAACTCTCCGTAATTAGTGATTCACCTTTTCAGAGTTCCGTCACCACCGAGATATTCGACGTGGACTTCATCAGCATCGAGCCCTTGGCGTTCAGCAAGCTCTACAACAGCACGTTCAAAAACATCAAAACGCTGAAGCTCCACGAGCGAGCTTTCGAATTCGACAACCAAGCCGATAATTACGGACACGGCCCCGCCGTCATCGTAAGTACCCCCTATTCAACAACCGCAGCGAAGAGCAATGGAATTTTCGATTGCAGATCATCTTCGACAACGCGGCCATACCGAGATTACCGCGCGACGTGTTCCTGGTGTCTCTGGCGAGCGTGTCGTTTCGCAGATGCAACGTCACTCGCGTGGAGAACGACGCTTTCAAATCCACCGAGATCGCTCTGATCGAATTCATCGATTCCAACGTCGATACCATAGAAGAGGGAGCGTTCGCGCAACGGGCGCTGATACACGAATTAATTATAACGAGATGTAACATTACGAAAATCGATACGGGATCCATTCTTGCCTCCATGGATAATTTTTCATTGACCGATTCCCTGTAAGTACTAGTGTAAGTAAAATGAATCGAAACGCTTTCCTAACAAGTATTTTTCAGTGTGGTTGATATCCAACCTGGTGCCATAAGCGCAACGACAGTGAGAACAGAATTGATCAACAACGAGATTTTCAACATTTACTCGCAGGGTGTGGTGGTAAACAGTTGGAGTTTTATACTGATGAACAAGAACATTATAAAACGAGTATGCAGTAGATTCATCGTGCCATCAGACGATAGGGTAAACAGCGCATTATCGTTCGTCGGTAACGAAATTTACGATGTCGAAGAAGGAGCTTTCGCGCAACTGTCGCAATTCGGGCCGCAATTGCTTAAATACGACGACAATTTCTTCAATCGATCCTGCGATTGTTCGATCGACGCTTGGCTGATTAAAATATCCAATAGCACTCGATTCAGTCAGATAATCGGAGACACGAGTTTTTGTACGGTCAGCACGACGGTATCGAAATGCTTCTCCCTGCCGGTAGGTACGATGAACATAAAGAATTTCACAGAGAAATCCTGCAAAAATTTCACGTCATGCGAACCGTACGAGGGAAAAACCCGAATCGTCGACACGACCAGTAGGATATTCGTCGAGGAATTCGATTACTCCAAACAAACAGTTACCATACTAATAATCACAACGGTAGTAGTGTTCGTAATAATCGTCGTCGTCGCTCTATTCATGCTCATCCTGGGCAACCGATGGATAAAGGAAAAAATCCATTTCCGAAGCAACAACTACAACAACAACGACCTGAGTATAGAAGAAGAAGGCACCGTGGTTACGTTAGACGAGAACAAGCAAATCGAAATGCCCGACGAACTCACCATGGACTTCCTGCAGGACCTAAAAAAGCGCCTCGACGATCCCGCTACGCGACAGCAGGCCGAATACATGATCGAATATCTGTACGAAACCTTCGTCGAAGAAGGATACGAACCGAACAATCGCCAGGACGAGGCGCATTTGTACGAAGAGCTGGGCAATTTGAAGTTACACACGCCGCCGCCGCCTTACGAGGAAGAAAAAGACGCAGCGGCCGAAAATATTTTGAAATTAATGGAGCAAAAGGTCAATCGGCAAATACCTGCGATACTGGCAGGGGATTATTCCGAGCCGACGGATGCGGCGGTGCATCTGTATTCCGAATTGAAGAAATCCGATAAATGTAATAAAAAGGAAAGTAATTCGACGACAGATTCCAACGAAACATTCGATTCACAGGATTATTTGTTCGATCAACCCGGACCGTCCACAAAAATGTGATCATTTCAATGAATGATGGAAATTAACTATTGGTATATAGAAGAGAAGCGAGGAAAAACTGTTGGAAAAATAGTTGGATTGTGTCGAAACTCAAGAAAATTTTAATATTTGAAGCACATAAATCCTCTTTGACGACTATCTTTTCATTACATTGTTATAGGTACACATGGTGCTCAATTTCTTGTAGAAAATGCCAAATATTTTGGTCGAATTAATGTACGTGGATACTTCGATAAAAAAACAAACCAAATTGCCTCGAACGAAAAATCGGAAGGCAATTTTCTCATTACATGTAGATTTTTTTAACTTTTAACGTTGATTATAGCTTTAAATTTATTCCAATTTTCTTGTACATTTCTGTATAATATCGCATAATTACTTCAAAAGCGGAAATTACGAATTAATGCGAGTTTGTTTGACGAGTGGCTGCTTAAAGGACTGAAATGTATATTATAAAAGGCGTGTCATTGAATAAATTAATGTTTAATATTTTATTCCATTTTTAAGGGCACTTGTTAGTAGATAAATAATTGTATTTTATTACTGTGGCAATAATCGTAGCGTAAACCTCAACTATTAGGTAATATAATTATCGTTATTGAAATAAATATTGTAAATAGAAATTTATATATCTTCTTTAAACGACTTTCATGAAGCTTTGAAAGTAACGAATTCTTTCAGAAATTATTACTTAATTGTATCAATACGCGTTTACTTTTTTACTAAAAAAATATTCTTAGCAAGGTCTGTCTTGCCTTACTGTGATAATGTGTTAAGTTGTATATTTTGTATGTTATCTTAATGTATGATTTATATCACTTTTTTTTAATAAATTTTAATACATCTTACGAATAAAAAATTTATAAAAAACCCCCCAATTCGCCACTAGCTGAATGAATGATTCTACAGAAAATATTTACTGGTAAACATCCTCTAATGAGTAATTCCTCATTTTTCTTCAAATGTCCTGCAGATTCCTGCAGATAATTCTACTATTTGCTGGAGGATTCCTTATTAATGTGTAAGAAGCTTGGAACACGACTTTTCTCAAGTTGGAGTAGAATTGAAAATGGTTAGAATGCAAAACAATCCCTGTTAGTGTGAACATTTTGCGCAGGTACGGTATATCGCAAATAGGTCAGGAAAAACTGCCAGTTTTTCCTCAATAACACAAGCCTTGTCGAGCGTCCAGACGCCAATACTATTACTATGGAAACGGCGTCGCGGCCGCTGTCGTACACAAACCGCTAGTAAAGTTAGTTGACTATCGCGTCGTTACCGGGAAATAGTAGATCTCGTTAATACTCGAGCGCATTGAATAGACGACATTAGCAGAGAAAATAATATTAAAAGCGCTCCCAGTTGCGCTCGCAACGTGTTCATCGCGAGTGTGATTGCGCGTTTTTTAAATCGACCGTATTATTGTTTTATTGGCGTTTAATAAAATGCAAATTAACGGTAATTAGAGTTAATTAGTCGTAATGTACGATTCGAGAGAATGTTCATCGCGCGGATGTTGTGGAATAATAATCTGATAAATCAGGTAAATTGTTTGTTTGTAGATATTTTTCTTTTTATATCATGAAATCAAATGAGAAATATAATTTAAATGACATTGTTTTACTACCGAAAATTAACTTGTTTATTGCATTACTAGGCAATAACATTCAATTAAAAGCTTTTAATGAATATAGGTCGGGTATCTCATTGAGATCTGCTAATAGATATTATGGAAATTTCAATTATATTTCAAATATTTTCAAATAATTTAAAATTCAGCTTAGTTTACTTATATTTAGAAACAATAGAATACGAATAATAATCGCTAATACATTTGCAAAACACGTATGTATTTTTAACCGCGTTAAAATAGGAAGGTCAGTTTGAAGTAGGTACATAATAATTTTTATTTTTTGTCCATAAATTGATATAACTAAATTAGCGCTTACGTTTAAATTCGCGTCTTTAGAATACTAGATTTTTGCGTTTGCAATAAATAATATTGCTGATTAAATGAGAAGTCTGTGCAACTAAAAATAGCACAAATATCAAATCAAATAAAAACATTAAGCGAAAATTGCAATATATCATAAACTGAAAACAGGCATCAAATACACGTGACGTAATTTTCAATTATATCGATAGCAGAAATAGATTTTCCAGGACACCTTTTGGAAACATTTACGATTCAACAAAGACGATTGTTAATATCGTTATTTAGTTCCAATAAAAATCTCGCCAAGGTTAGCGTTATGTAAACTATTTTGTCACACTCAAGTAGATACATAACGTGAAAATTTTACACACATTTTACCTACCATTTCGACAGCCAATAATGATTTTACAGTGTAACATTTTTACACTTAATAGATGAAATAAGAATCTCGGTAGTTCAATAAACTTTAAAACTCGTACATTTGCATTTTTATTGCAAACAATCGTCGCATTTCTCGAATGGTCTTATCGCAGTAGATATTACAGAAACGTACGAAAAATTGATCGTCGATAACGGTTTGTAAACACAGCATACTCTCAGTACACGTACGGTATACAAAACCTAATAATAAGGTCTGGAAAAAGCGCACCAGACACTCAATCGAGCGTTTAACTTTAACCAATGCACTAGGTAAGCGAGGCGAAGATACCAGGATGTTTAATTGCTGACACATTCGTTTAAAGTAATATAAACTAAAACGTAAAACCTACATGTAGTACGTTTAGTCAGCGTTCGATTAGGCCTCAACGAGTTGTTACGAGCTTAAAAAAATGAGTACAATTGAGTGAAACGATCGTAAAAATCCCCTTACACGGCTTTTAATGTGAGTAGAATAAAATCCGCGACGGATTTAATCATCATATTTCCATTGTACCAGTCATTTTTACCGGAATTCGTCAATAAATCGAAATGATCCGACTGCCCTATTCGTCGCGTTTTATCTTATCGCGGGGCAATGAAAACGCTAATGGAATTACGCGAACGGATCGAAATAATAAATCGAGATACGGCGAGATTATCAACGATACCTTATCTTACAAACAAATATATTTCACCTGGTTTCGTTACGAATTGTAGAAAATTAACTCGATAATATCAAAAGCTGACAGAATCCGAAACTGTGAAGGCGCGTTTCGAGACGAGAGCATCTAAATAATCGTGTAAATAATTCGATAAATGTGGGGTGTTGGTTTTATTTTTTCCGCCGAAGTTTCACGTACCTATAATCGATTTTACTGGTATGTTAGTAGCACTGTATGTAATTGTTATTTTAACAAATACTAAGTTTGTCAACCTTTTAGTATCTATTGTTAATATTTGTACAATTAAAAAATCAATACCGAACTAAAACATAACGGGAAGACGATTGTAACATTTACTTATAATTTGGTATCTAAAAATCAACTCGTATTCAAAATGAAATTTACGGTAGCTTATAAAATTCGATTATAATTTTACTGCGATAATAAATTGCAGCGCGTACGAATACACCTCATGAATCATTTTATTTGCGAAAACTTCAACGTATCATCTAGCAGAAACTTATCAACTGCTAAATTATGATTTGTTTGTTACAGCTACACAAACCTTTATCTATCCAGTATGTAGTAAACATGGACAATGACAAATTCTAGGTACGCAGCGATTGTATGCATTTTTTTGGCAATACTCCACAGGGAAGCTGATTCGCAAGACATTCTAGATGACGAGAGAAACGGCTGCAGGTGGCACGGAGGCTCCATTTCGGGCTTGGTATGCGATTGTCGCGGCGATGCAGAGGTAATTAATACACCGAATTCTAATCGGATTAAAACTGAACACTTAACGGTTTCGAAAGTTATGTAGATGCTCGATTTAATCGCGCTTACAGTAATATAGGAATAGCTGAAGATGTTGCCTGCATTATTAAACGTTGCGCAGGGTATGTCTTCAGACATACTAATCGGTCTGTACCTACTTAAATTTATTATACATTTCAGGTGACATTAAATTCGAACACAATCAGCTACCCATCGACTACAGAAATCGTAATGAAAGGATGCCGTGCAGTTAAAATCGAAGCAAACACGATAGCAGGACTCAGAAACCTTCGACTCGTGTCGCTTAGCGATATCCAACAAATTCGCTTCGACAGCGACAGCATAAATTGGTACGGGTATCGAGATAGCGTATCCCAAGTCGTAGAAGAAGAGAGATTCGACGTTACTATTCCTTCGTTGAAATTGCTCGTTCGCAACAGCAACGTATCGGAGATTGCCAGCCACGCGTTCGCGGGAAGAATCGGAGAGATAATCCTCGACGGTGTAGTCGTTAACAAAATATCACCGTTGGCTTTCGTGAATTTGCTCCAAACCGAAAAAATTTCGATCAGAAACTCGGCGCTTCTGGACGTGGGAGTGCAAGCGTTTAAAAAATTCGCGACGGAGCAATTCGAATTGGTTAATGTGACGGCCGATCTCGTGCCGAGCAGGGCGATTTCCAATATAACCGTTTACCAAAGCGTAGTAATAGATAATTGCGATTTCAACGCGATCCGATCGGGTGGCTTCACCATCTACAATCCGAGCAGGTTTCGGCTGACGAACAGCCGCGTCGGAAATTTAAACGGAGAGGGTTTCAAAATCATCAGCAGGGGAATCGTTTCGATTCGAAATAACACTTTCGTGAACGTCGACGACGGCGGATTCGCGGGCATAACGTTACAAAAGGACGTGATTACCTACAAACTTACGTTCGATTCGAACAGGATTCGAAATATGCACCCCACGTCTTTAAGCACGTCCGAGCCCTATTTCCAATTCACCAATATCATACTCGATGAAGCTTGCGATTGCACCGCTGTGGATGACAAAATTCGCGAAAGCTCGTATTACAAGGAAATTAAATGCACCTACGAAAACGAGCTGACGCCATTGGACGTGTTCAAGACTAAAATGTGTTCAGTCGTTAATCAATATTATATTGTAATCATAATCGCGAGCGTCGTTGCGATTCTAATAGCGGCAATTTTATTGGGATTGTACATGTATTATCGAAACGTTTACAAACGGCAAAAATACGGGGACAAAAAGGCCGGTAAAAACGGTAATATGAGTCTAATTGTGCCGGACGGTAGAACGTACAGGGAAACCGAGCTGCACGTTATCGTAGAACGCGCCGATCTCCTTACAACCGACTTGTAATTTATGATATTTATTAAAATGCCATTCGACAAACAACTCTTGCTGTTTTATTTGTGGGTAACTCGAAGAATCTCCAATCAGTGAGTCACCATTACAGTTTTATATACAATAGAGGGAAGACTTACCTGTAAGGTAACAGCCCGTCTAAAGCTTGTTGTACAGTGGGAGGTGAACTCAACGCCAATCCTTTGGATAGAAGCGAACCGTGACGAGAAAAAATTTCCGCAGCTACGGTTTCAGCAACTTCGATATCGACATCAGCTTCATCTGAAACAGCAATGGTTTGATGTTTAAATCATAAAACACGTCTTTGAATATAATGACCCGTATTCAGCGCCCCAATTTAACCTTAAACACGGCTTTAGAGGGTCATTTTAACGTAAACAAAGTCCATAGTTACTCCATAACAACAATATACAACTGTCAAGTAAAGTTAGAGGCCAATACGGGTCATTGTAATCTGTGATTGTAATCTTAACCGTCACATGATATTACCTTCATTAACAGGAAACAAAATATCCTTCTTCATCAAACTGGCGGCGCACATTCCGCCTAGAAAAGCCAATTCGGCTTCCAAATGCTTCAATTCGTTCAGAGGTTGATTGAACTCCTGCGGTCTCTCGTAACCGATCACCAGACATTTATAACCGTAAGCGCTCAATCGCTCGTCTTTTAGATAATCCGAAGCGGTTTCCAACGAAAATAACACCTCGTTCCCCGGCAGAATTACGGAATTAGTCGGCCACTGCAAACTACAAACACAGATCGCTAGCGTTAGAAATTCTCGTTTGTGTATACTCGTACCTGCCGCTAAATTTATGCAATACAGGCCAATAGGGCATCGGCGGCGATTCGCCGTCGTCGAGAAACACAGCGCCGTTGCACTCTTGTTGATAATCTATAGCCGGCACGAATAGCTGCAGGGAATCCTCGGGCTGGACGGTCGAACAAGCCGGGTCGAATTCCAAGCTCATCCACTTCACGCTCTCCGGAAATAGTACTCTAAAAATGCAACAAACTATAGCCCTGGATAATCTCGAAACGTAAGTACGAACCTGCAATTCGATACAGTGGAAGCTTTATAGGGATGTTCGCTTTCGACGACCGTGTAGTGGTGACTCGTCGTTTCAGCTCTGTGCTCGATGCTTTCGTGATTAGAGGAATTACTCAAACTGATGGGTTTTAATAGGTTTCCAGTAGCTCCTATTAAATTCAAAGCGGCTACGTGCGGTAGTAACTCCTGGATTAGAGTTAATATGTGAACGGCGCTCTAAAACGAAATTAATATTAATTACACAATTTGCTTGGTTTTAATTGAATTACCTTAGAATCGCTGGTCACTAACGGACTGATGTGTGCTAGTACTAAAGGAAGTAGCGTGGTAACGATGCAAGATTTACTGAGGATTTCAGCTGCGGGTACTTCATCGGCTTTTTCTCTAGCCGATACTAATAAATTACTAGATTTTTGTATTATTGCGCTGGTCATAGATAATGCGGCGATACGTGCTTGCTGTTCCAATTTCGTTGTAGCTGCTCTACCACTCTCCAAAGGGTTACTAAAAGAACGAGGAATATAACTTGCTTAATACGCTTCAATTACTAATTTACCTGTAATATAAAATAACAGGAATTTGTCCTCTAGTGAGCGTTGTTCCATTAAAACTCAACGAGCACGTTGAAAACGTGAAAACGGTGTTATCGGATCCTTTGATCGAATTTAAACCACCATCACCGTTATTAGTTCTACCGCCGTGATTCCGAAGCCTAACTGCATACTTAATGTTTTCCTAAAATGATATCATTAAGAGGTCGTGGATGATTTTATACCAAATTTAATACCTTCAACGATATGGCTCTATCGAACTTTATTTCGATAACATCAGGAGGAAAATCTTCCGGTCCAAACGAACCTCTCGTTATTTCCAAGCTATTCCAACGGTGCGAATGAGCGTGACTGTCCGAAGCGTTCAAAGAAGTCGTCTGAAATAATTGCATTAATAGAATATAATTAGTTCTCTTATAATCGTACGTCTTCTAAAAGTTCCAATTCGTATTCGTAGTGGCCGATTCCGCCGTAAACGCCAACGCCGATGATCGATATTCCCGGTCGATCGACTTGGAAACAAATCGCATCGGGCGAACCGTTGCCCGTGTTCCACGTTCTCGATTGATTTGTTCTGGTGAATCTCGACGGCGTCATGTGCAAAGTGCGTCCGTAATTGCCTTGCAAGTCTTCCTATAAAAGTATTAATGATACTACTACAGTGGGTATAATTTATTGTGGTCCTTACTTCGGATGAGCTGCATTGATGGACTAATTCAGCTAGTACTCGAGCTAATAAATGGCAACAGAATTTCGACAATTCCGACATGTACGAAACGGTATTCTTTTGTAGAGTTCTAGCGACGGGGTTGGAAGCTAAATTTATCAAACATTCCAAAACTTCGCTCCATTGCCAAGATATTCCGTTCGAAATCGACTCTACCTGCATCAAAATCACCAATTTATATGTATACTAATTAATGAACATATTTACATTTAACTTACTTGTGATTTAAAACTCATTTGTTCTACTAATACAGGGTAATGATGCGAATCGGAAATGCTCATAATTGGAAGTCCGGTGTTGTCGGAAGGGCTTAAACCCCTGTTAAGGGCGCTCTCGGAGCAAATACTTTGACCGATTAACGGAAACGTGCTCCTTAATCTTACGCTGGGTGCGCATAGAGCGCACAAAACAGCGCTGAGCAATCTTTGACTGTTATTGTAAATGAACTGTCCATTATCCTAAAATCAAAACGAATTAACATTTCCATAAAATGGTCTAAAATATACACTAACTTTAGTGCTTTCGCTGAGTAAATCGCACAAGCAGGTCCATTTCAAATAAGCCGTCGGGTAAAAAGCGTGAAAACAAGCGACAAAAGTATTGTGACACTCATCGAGTACATTATTCATCAAATGTATATTCATGTTATTGTTTCTGCTCGCTTTCTTGTTCTGCATCACCACGGGGATGTTATCAGACAAAATTTGTTTTAAAAGAGCCCTAACGTCCCCCACGCATTCGGCTAACTGCACATTCTCCAACGACAATTTTCTGTTTATATGCCTGGGATAAATTTCGTTTGTGTAGGTGCATATCAACCGCAAACTCGCTCGACTAATGTAAACCAATCGATCCAACTCCAAGGTTGTGTAAGAAACTTTATGCGACTGGCCCTCTGCTATTCCCCATTTGAAAGTGTTCCAGGACCACTGCAGAAGAGACAACAAGCTCTGAAAGCACTCCCTGGTGACCGTTCTCGAAAAGTCTTTGGACAATATGTGGATGGGCTCCATTATGTCGCTCTGTCTGGGCGAAATCTGATTTTCCGGCGTTATGACTTTGTAGAGCAGCTGCGGAATTTGGCCGGCGTTCACGTCCGTGCCGTTGTTCGATTTCTTCGAGGATTTGAAGTAGAATAGTATCTGGTCTTCGGTGGTTACCATCGTTTGGCCCGAAGATCCGCAATCGCTGCTCGGGCCGCTTATTCTACACCAACCGACGTACCAACGATGGGCCTGCACAAAAATCATTTAACTATAACACTTCAACATTTTATATATGAATAGTTATACCTGTAATGGAATGGGTTCGTCGAATAAAATCGGAAACTTCTGCCTCGGGCCGCATTCGTAAGGTATCTCTTCGGTCTCCGTTAACAATTCACCGTCGGTTTCTTGCTCGCCTCCTTCCGGGCCGATATCGAGTAGTTTAATTTTAGCCGTGTATTCTCCGCGGCCTCCGAACAATCCGAAACCTCCCAGAAGTATGTCGGTGTCGGCCATAAAACGAATGGCCTCGATGCTGTGGCCTGAATAACCCCAGCCACCACCGTGGCTTTCGAACCGATTAACCGATTGGAAGTCTTCTTTAGAGTACTGCTTTCCAGTCAATAATTGTCGATCGTCCACGGTTTCGTTGACGGCGCTTATTTGCAATTCGTGCGCTAGTGTTAATGTATCCAAACAGCACAATAAGTTAATAGCTGCCTGAAAACGTGTAACGTTGCAATTCGTGATTATCGGTAGAGCCAATTCGGGCGATAGAATCGAACAAAGCTGCACGTTCCTGTCGTTATTTTTGGCATCCTTAGCGGCTTTCAACTCGCTCGTGAATCTATCCGATTTGTTAACGTTTTTGATCGTTTGCAGCTCGCTTGCTATAATGTTATAAGCAGTAAATTCGTTGTTTAAGAAGCTGTACGACCACAATACGTTGTAGATGGGATCCATGCATACAACTCTATTGCTAAAGTCCACCTGGTCGAGGGACTTGAACGAGTTGCAATTACCGTCTCTTTTGTTGATTACCAAGCATTTGAAGTTCTTCGCGGTTTCTTCTTCGTTCGGAAGCAGCACTAAAATAATTAAACCGTTAATTTTATTTTAATCGTTATGTAATGGTACTTACCTATTAGGTTTTTATTGGCGGTGACGGTGGATTTGGATATACTAACGGAGTTTATCAAACTTTCGTCTAATTTGAGGAACGTCTGGTCACCGGACGCCCCGACCCACGTGGCTCTTCGACCATGCTTGGGACCGATATTCGGTACAGGCCCAGGAAAACTGTACCAAGGTGTTCGAGGGTTCGAAAACCGGGAAGACGAACTATTACCCGGTTGAGTTACGTCTTGAGACGATACGTGGCTCGGAGTTCGACCTAATTGTCCTTTCTAAAAGAATTCATATTACTCTCCTGCGTGTAAAGATAACTAATTCGTAATACCTGAGCGCTTCCGAACGTGTAAACTTCACCTTTCGAAGTCAACACTACAGAGTGATTGCTACCTGCGGCAATTTGAATCGCGCTGCAAGGGAGTCTTACTAGCTGCACGCTGCTTTTCGTTAATATATCGCCGCAACCTAGTTGCCCGTTTAGGTTGGAACCGAACGTGTAAACCTGGCCGTTCTGTAAAAGTAATATAGTGTGGTGCAGACCACAGGATACTTGGATTATGGGACTATCGATGGCCAGAGCAAGCTTGGCTGGAGGCAAACAGGAAATTCTGGTAGCATCTCGTTCCACATCCGAACCTTGCTGTTCTTTAACTAAAAAGAAGTTTATTGATTTGTTTATATTGTTAGTATAATTATTATTAACCTGCTGCTAAAACGTTGTTTTGTCGGATACTATTATTCAATCGGTGCACAGTTGAATTAATTGTCGATCTCGACGATTTGGACTTTAGTAACTGCTTACTGCATCCCTGAATGGATTTTTTGCTCTTATTTTTCCTATCGTCCAAACGACCCTTCAAATGTAGCATAGTATAATTTATGTGAATAAAACAATTAATATGCGTACTTGTTCTTGTAGTTTCGTTCTTTGTCGAGGCGGTATGACGGCTTTCTCTCGAAAAATCAAATCCAATCTCATCATACCCGCCAAATCGGCCAATTCGGAATTATCGACTACTTCTCTAGCGCATATCCTGCAACACCCGCATATGCTGCACCCGCTATCGCCTTCCCCACATCCGCACTCTCTGTAAAATGAGTACATATTTAACAGTATGATTCGAATAATATTTCACACTTACTGTCCTGGATTTCGATCAGCGCTGATAGAAGACAGGCAACTGATTGAATAGCCTGTGCATTCCCTACAAACGGTGCAAATCATGCACATGTCATCGTGCCAAGAATGCATCCCCGGAGGGCAAATATTGTGTTGTTCCGCCATGTTTAGATCGGAAACTCCCGGTGTATTATCGCTCACTTTTTGATTCTCCGATTGGATTTCGTCGATAAGGTCTTGTTCTTCTTGTACTCCGCATGTATCCATTGCGACGACGTTCAATGAGTTTTCTAACAATCATTTAAGTATAAAAATAACAATAAATGCTGTAGGTAAGTACATACCTTCTTTCGACATGTTGAATTCTCGCCCGCATTGGAATTTATTATTAATACCAAACGTGTATATTTGACCTTTGTTAGTCAGCGCGACGGCATGTGCTTTGCCTAGGGAAACTTGCGTGATAAACTCCCCTTTTAAATGACTGATTACGCCAGTTACAGGATCTGTATGGGTGGTGTCTTTGCCGAACATGAGAAGTTCCCCTTCTTTGTTAATGAGAGCCGTTGTTCCGTTATTGCAAGCTACATATACGATGTGCTGACCGTCGACTTTGATCATTTTCTTCGGTTTGACCGGTTTAGGTTGACGCCGAATTTTATTCTGATCGCCATCTTCTCCCCTTCTGGCGGTACCTAAAAATTATTTCGCAATATAACGCTAATTTAGGGAGTATATTAAATTGAGTACCTGTAAAGAATACTGATCCATCATCGGTTAAAAGCACAGCGTGGAGTCCGTCGTGACCAATAGCTATTTGAGTAACTTTGGGAGCTTTAGTGATGATTAATTCCGTCCATTTGCCCGTTCTAACGCCAGGTTGTTTTATACCGAGAGCTGAGGATTTGCCACAATACAACACCTTTCCTGACATGGTTCGAATTAAACCAAACTCTTTTCCTGTACAGACGGTTGAAATTTCTTCTTCGTTCCCAGTATTTACAGTGTAAGTGCCATTTTCTTCATCGAATGCCGATACTCCAAACACGTCAACACATTTTCTAGCTAACTTCAATGGCAGTTCGCTTACTAGAGCTGCTGGTGAAATATTTTGATTCAGCATTCGAACGACAAAACCGTCATCCTTAGCGGCGGATATTATGCCTAAATAATCCCCGTCGGAAAATACGACGGTAGCTGATGAATCGCGATTGTGTAACGGTACCGAACCGCATATTAACAGATTTGTTCTTTCTACTATAAGAAATTCTCCGCCTCGTCTGCCGCACAATTTCAAGTATAAATTCCCCTAAAATCTCACTGTAAATAAGTGATATATTTAAAGAAGTAGAAGCTTACATTGCAGAACACTAAACTCCCGTTTTCGTTTGGATAAAAATCCGATTTCCATAGCACTACTTGTCCCTTAATCGTGCCGCCGTAACCGCTGCCTATTTTAAGTAAACCTTTGGAAGTGAAAAGGTACAAATATTGACCATCGTACGCTAGCGATTTGACTTTTAACTGTACATTGAGCAGTTCAGTGGGAAATTTCAAGTGAAAAGTAAATATTTTCGCATTGTTCGGTACGCCGTGAGAAATCCAATCGGGTCGAACAGTTTTTCCCAATAATACGCCATGAACGCTCTTCTGCAGCGACGAAAGAACTGCAGGCATCTGAAAAATACTTTTTACACAATAAACTATAACTTTTAGAGGTGCTTACTTGTATGTTTTGTAGAGATAAAGCTCTCGGACACATCAATAAAGCTGCCGAAGCAGATAGGTATTTTCCAGTATCTCCTCTAACAACTACTAAAGATAGTAAACAGGCGCAAGCAACTGCTGTGAAATGACTTCCATCGTTAGGAACTGAACTTTCCGGTCCATGGAGTGTAGCTAAATCTAGTAACAGTTCAAATAAAGCATCGATTACATCAGGTGGTTCGCACTTTAGAGCTTCAGGAGCTTGGCCTTGTAGAACGTCCAGCAAAGCTATCAGAGCTTTTGTACACAATAGCGGATGCGTAATTCGACTTTCTTTTATCAATTCGAACACCGATCGCAAACCTAAGCCAACTATTTTTGACACTTTTATCGCCGTGTAAAAAGTACTTTGTGAATTATCTTCCGTGTCGCTTTCAATTTCGCTTTGATCTTGATTCGGAAGACTGCAGCTGCTGCTTAGATATTCCTGGCTCGCTTGTTTCATCCATCTATCCAGGACAGCCAACCGGATAGAGGCGAATACGGCGAATGCAGATGCATTTCCAGGAAGTTCGATTTCAGGAGCCAACTGCAAATCGCTTTCAGAATAAGACGATTCGAGCTTGTTTTTTTGTTTGTATCTTTTTTTGGCCGACTTCTTTTTTAATCGTTTCCATTCTAATCGTTTTCTGAAATATAGGAGACCGTAATATATGGATGTAAATAATAACTAGTGTACTTACTTAGCTTGTTCTGGAAGTACTTTGTAAGCTTCGTGGAAAATTACATTAAAGTCTTCGGGATCTGGCAACATTTTTTTCAGTGAAGCCCGAAAGTTTATAAACTTTAGATCTTACCACAGCTTATTGATTTTGTAAATGGTGTGTCATACTTTTCAGCTGAAAAATCAATAAAATTTAGAAACGGTCAAAAAATTCTAAGAGCCGTACCGTTTAATTGAATTTTCTTTTCAATAATTTCTATTATTCGTTGTTGTTTTATTGTGATTGTTTAAAAATTAAACCACCGGTATTTAAGAGGGGCGTTGAGATTTGGTAACCCAATTTCAGTTGGCAGCAATGAAAATAAGCCCGATTTTTCGGTGTACAAATCTCAATTTTTACTTAATTTTGAGATATAATATGAATCGCAGCTGATAGAGTGAACCTTCGTGTAGGTCATAAAGGTTTTTTTTACAGATCTATGCAAAAATAACGAAATTACAAGCGTTTGAAGGTAGACATTTTTCAGTTTTTTTTTCTAACGGACGGTAACCAAAATCCTTTATGACCTAGCGATGGGTAATAGAAATGTATTGTGAAAATTTGGAAACGATATTCTTTATATTTTTTGAGATTTGTACACCGAAAAGTCTGGATTTTGGAAAAAACTTCATCGATTTGCCGCTAGGGGATACCGAAAATGATATTATGGTAATGTGGGTTGCATACGCTCAACGAGATATGAGCTTTAGGAAGATAAAATAAGGGTTATTTATGAATATACGATATATGTGCACTTCACAAAGCACACTGTTTTTATTATAATAAACAAATTTAGGAGAATTGAGGAAATTCAAGTGAAAATTTATTGTAAGTGTCATTGCTGCCAACAAAATAGAGTATTTGACGTAATAGACATGACATAAGACATAAGACAAGATGTCAAATTGATTTTTAGGAGGTTATATTTACGTTACCATATTTACATTTGTTATATTATACTTTATCGAGTTATTACTTTGTAGTTGCAATTGAAATTGCAATATACAAACAATAATTAATTATGAAGATACGTTATTATATTTGGATATCATGCATTTATTAATTATTTTGTAAAACAATATTCGAAGATTGATTGAAGACTAGAATGAAATCAAAATTTATCACAGCGTGCACTATTAGGTATATTTTTCATATTCATCATTGGCATACAAATTTAGTATTGTATTTTTTCTTTTCCAACTTTACACTTATCAGTTATTAGATATGATATGACTTACGTTTAATTCAACTATCATGCTAAACTTGTTGTACCTGTAAGGAAAAGAATTCAAACATTTCATTTGTGTAAATATGTTTATTTTAATACTACTTTAACAATTTTGATATACAAGTTGATATACAAGTTTCATCGGTCCACTTTTCTTCTCTTCTATCTTCGGAATGTAATGTTTTATCGGGTATCTCATAGGGCAGGTTGATGATCAAATCTATACTTGAAAATGGTCCTGCACAGGTCCCCACCCAAGTCCTACGACCCCAGAGTGGCTGTAGTAGAACTATTTCACTTACAAATTCATCAGTGCCATTGTCATTTTCGGAGTGTGTGTTCGGAGTACTTATTGTTGCATCGGGCATCCCATGGGGCAGGTTGTTGATTAAATCTATGCTTGAAAATAGTCCTGCACAGGTCCCCACCTAAGTTCTACGACCCAGAGTGGCTGTACTAGAACTATTTCATTTAGGCCCAGTTGCTCGTATGCGGATCAAAGTCGTATCAACTGATCTCGAATCAAACTCGGATCAATAGTTAGTCCTGGAAAAGGGCGGCCATATTTGATCCCGATTTAATCTCGGCTTAATCCCGGATCATAATTGATCCGCGTATGAGCAACCGGGCCTTACAATTTCATCGGAGGCATTGTCATTATCGGAGTGTGTGTTCGGAGTACTTATTGTATCGGGTATTTATCAATATATTCGATCGTAGAATCGCATCTCCCATTTTGTCGCCTGCACGTACTTTTACAATATTACATAGGTATACAATACAATACAATACAGGGTGTTCCAATAAAAAGTACCCCCTTTAATTAGCTAATAATTTTTAAACGCCTAATCATAAAAACATGCGGTTTTCTCAAATATGTTTTATTTTATTATAAGTTTTGTTACAGTGATACAGAAATTATGCATTAACAATACATGGTGTTTTATCAAAACCTCCTCTTTTAAATTCACAGTAACCAAATTAATTTAAATGAAACATCCCGTATATTCAGAGGTATTTTAAAAGATACACTCTTCTACTTTTCAAAAATATATTATTTGTAGAAATTATTCTACAAAAGAAGACGTCCTATTTCATAAAATTTAGTTATTGCGAATGTAAAAGAGGGTTTTTTTATGAAACATCCTGTGCAGGCGATACAAAATTTTTGTCTCACTGCAACAAAAAGTTATAGAAAAATAAATAATATATTTGTCAAAACCGCATGTTTTATCATCATTAGACGTTTAAAAAATATTAGCTCACTAAAGGGGCTACTTTTCATTGGGACACCCTGTATTTTAATGAACACTATATCATAATTACATGATTTTTAGTGATAAAAAATGTTTAGTGATTTTTATCTAATACCATTGTAATATAGGTACCACTCGACAAAGACTGGTCTTTGTAGCAATGATTGTACGTCTATTATTAATGTATCTTTGTAATTAATTATAAAAATTAATTAATAAAATGTTTCAAATTTACATATATTATAGTTTACAAAGTTTGCAATAAGAAATTGAAATATAATTAACTAACAAACTATATAATATTTATATAGTCATTGATATTTGAAATAAAATTTGCAAATTAATATACCTACACGTATATCAAAAATGAAATTTGCAAATTCTAAAAGCAAAAATGCATTTTCGCCGCTACGAAAATAGAGAGAATATTCGCCAGAGTGTTAGGGGTCGAAAACGATTAGACGGACAATCATAAACGGCTACCTGCTTATGCAAATTTACTTTATTTACAATGCGACGATAACAATACATTTACTTTGAAAATAGTCTCTTAGATCCACTGCACTTGCGCCACCTGTTAGAACATTTTCTGAAATATCACTGGTTAAAAACCTGGCTAAAAATTTAATTTTGAGACAGCTAACGCCATCTGGTTCAATTAATGAAACTACGAAAAATTACTAGATTCTAGGGGCGATTGGTACGACTGTTGAAGTGCTCAACGCCCCTCTTAAATTAAAAAATAACACTTCTTCTCTTTTGTCGCACACTGTCAATTTACATAGCGGGTAACTGGATGCAGCATTAGCAAGAGGCAAAACAATAAAATACGAATTGTCGAAATTGCGTCACACTTTTGTGTTCTGTCCAAAAGGCAATTTTAAAAATGAGGAATTTTGAAAAATGGACAACTTTCAATTCAACTATACTTGAACAAAATATTAAACTTTATTTATATCATAATCAACAAGACAAAACAGATAAACAAAAAAAAACAAATTTGTTCTTAATTAAACCTTTACGTACGTTAGCTTATTAAAAACAGCCTTTAAATTATTTAATAATACGCATGTCTTTCTAATGATTATAATTTTTGTGAAAATATATCTTCTTTGGAAGTTTGAATGAAATGTTTATGAAGCCCGAATAAACTATCGAATACATGCGAGGGCTCAATCTCGGGGTTATTTTTCTTCAATGAACTGATTTCAGTGTCACTTATAATAACAGCCTGCCAGCCCGAATTTTTAGCACCGATGTAATCATAACACACTTGATCCCCAATGTGCAAACATTCCTCGGGCTTTAAGCCCTCCAATTTGGACCTAGCCATGGCCTCCTGGAATATTTTTGGGTCCGGTTTTTCGAAACCCGCTTCATAAGATGTCAGAATGAAATGAAAGAAATGCCTTAGTTTTATGTTCGTCAAAGTTACATGAAGTCTGGGATCAAAGTTCGATATAACACCCATAGGAATATCTGCAAAAAATTACAATCTCAGAAATTGAACTACTTCGTAAGATAAATAAATACTTTTGCTTCGTATGTAGGATAAAAGCCCACTGACTCCATCGCATAGTTGCCAACACGTAGAGACTTTATAGAGTTCTATGAGATGAAATGCGACTTCGTCGAGTTTCTTTTCGTCTACGTTTGCTCTGGTGTCTTTGAAGGTTTTCTTTACGAGCGTCCTCCACCATTCCTCCCAGCCTAGGCCGGTGTCTCGCCCGAAATTTGGATGCACTAAACTCATTCTGTGCCAGTGCTCTTTGAAATGTTTACTCAGCTCATTCCCATCACAGTTAATACCGTACAAAGCGCTTATTTCCCCATATTGTTGACCGGGCGTCAGTTTGAATTTCAGCAACGTACCAGTTATATCGAAAGTAACCAGTCTCAGTCTCGAAAGCAACATTTTCACTCAGATAATTTGTGTTTCCTCGTTATCTCGTTTACATTGAGTTAATTCGCGCATAGTGCTAAAAATAAAGTATTTGTTTACATTGCAGTTTGCATTCTTTTTATTTTAATAAATACATTTATTACATTGTGGACACTTGTTTACATTTTTGACATCTTACAATAAATTTTGGGGAATTAAATTATTTTAAGTTGGTAGCGGTGGTAAGAATGTGTCAAAAGTCAAAATACAGGGTGATGTCATCTAATTGTAATATACAGAGTGATTCTAAAACTGATATATTATTAAATATTTTAATATTTCATGTTTAAAACATGCATGCAAATGTTATAATTACTTATACAAATTATTTAATATATTTTGAACTCTACAAATACATGATAGTTCGTCTACATGTATTAACATACTAAAATATATGCTTATTAAAAATGGGTCATTGTTGAATACAGCTCTTATTTATTATTATAACTTATGTGCGATCTACTAAAAAGACTCTAATTTTAAAACTAAACCATTGCCAGATATCTTGATTGCAATACCATTGCGAAAATTATAGCATGCGGATATAGATCTTCGTCCTTTTATCGTTTATAATAGTTCAGGTGCGAGTTTTAATGGCAAACGGGTTGGCAACTAATTATTTTGAAAGCCCCACAGCGACAGCAGAACGAGCGCGATACGAGTAAACATATCTTTTACAAATCCACCCTCTAGTGACCTATTTACTCAAAGCGCATATAGTGGGCTCCTGCTCAAAAAATGGCCGAAAATTTGAAATTTTAGAGAGCAATAGATTAGTCGTTTTGAGAATTAATTCGTATTAATCGATCAATATTAAGCAGTTCAGTACTTAAATATTCTATTAAAGTAAAACAATAAAACAGGATAATTGTTATGTTAGAGTAAAATCGAATTTCGTCCGGTTATAAGAACCATGGTGATCTCAGTGCCTGGCATATCGCGATTATCCTTTATCCTTGTTCCTGCAGGAAAAAGGAATTACAGTAAGTCGCTGTAAACGCTTGCGTCAATTCCTATCAGCTGTTTGGAAACAAGAGCGTAATGAGATTTGAGCGAAATCAACCCCCAATAGCGCTTGGATGCTGCGAAGGGTTGAATGTACAAATATAATACGGGCTGTTAGATGAGGTGGATTCGCTGAGTATCGCCGCTTCGCAGCGTTGTGATGTATTTGATACTGGTATTGTCAATTTATGTAAAGTGTCGGTGTATTTGTGATGCGCTTGTTGACCAAAATTTTCGCGATTTTCGTTGCTTCGGAAGCCGCTTTACCAACCACCCGGGCCAAATTACCGCGAGATGGTAAGAACATCCAATTAATTTTATTTATATTCTTCCACTTCCAATATTAACATGTACATTTGTTAAATTTAGTCAATATTCTCTTCAAAAGAGAAACCACAACTTCCTTTATAATATACATGTAGTTAAACACATTAATTAATTTCTTTAACACTTACTCAAAGTAAATTAAAAATCGTTATTTTTTCCAAGTCCTTTAATATCCTGTAAAATAAGTTTATAAATGCAAATCCCGTGACGTCCGCTAGTTCATCCAATCGAGTTCAGGTACAAAGATAATTCCATTATAAAGTTAATTACAACGGGAATATAACAGGCGGGAAAGCCTCCAGATAGGGGTATTTTGCTTGATAAATAGACTGGGCTTGGTAAATATTTTAGCGACTCCTTTTACACCACCGCAGCAAACAAGAACTATCTCTATTTATAAACTTGCACGTTCCCGACAGAATTTAACCGCATGTTCAGACGAAACCGCCGGCGTTTGTGGTCTTCTTCTATCCAACATGTTGGATAAACTTAGCAAACAATTATTTATATGTCTGCATTACGCCCTACGAAATGTTAACAAAGGATGTGTATATCACAAACGAAATTATTCAGATTCTCCCATTCTCAACGCCATCAATAAGAAACTAGATATATGAACACAATTCCTCTTTATTCTACACCTAAAGATTACTGTGAAAAACGAGACCATATTAAGACACGCTCCATTAGAAATTGAAGATTAAATATCTGTATCGTTTTCTGAGGTATTTCTTTTTCAGAGTTCTCTTTCGACTCGTGTTCCCCGCCGCAATTGGCGTTAAATGGATCGGAAACTGAAGCCGGCGAAACCAGAATCAGGAAAGAATTCAATCACGTGCGAGAGGTGAAATTTTCCGGCTCGATCGGACCACTCGGGGAGCAAAGGCTGTGCAAAATCAAATGCATCGCCGGGCAATGGGTAGGACCTTTGTGCATAGACCAACAGGGTAAGCATTATTTACTACAAATCCAGATTTTTGTTAAATACTTTCTAATCGGATATGGTTTGTAGATAATGGAAGGTTTCAACCGTTGTTTAGGAATTGCAAGTTGGAGTACATCAATCCTCATTTGTTGGTAACCTTTCGGAATGTTTCTATACTGGTAAGATTGGATTTTTCTGTGACAATTCGTTCTATGCTGGGTTTTTTTTTTGTTTCAGAATCCTGGGGTAACCTTTCCTCATGGTGCTAAATTACATACAAGATGCAAAGAACTAGGGCTGTACAAATTATTGGGCACCGCAACTCCTCAATGCCAAAATGGCCAGTGGTCTTCCAGACTTCCTTCTTGTGTACCGACTACACTGTTAACAAATTTCACAGGTATACTGAAGATTGATTATGTAATTCATAAAGAGATATATTGAAACACCGACTAATGAAATAAGACAGCTGTAAAAGAGTTCTTTTACTTTTAGCCTCTACTATTAGCTATAAAACTAAATTCAATTAAATTGAACGGGTGAAATTTAAACTTTTCAAAGCAGCTTTTAAAACTCATCGACGTTAAACTCTAAGTTAAAATTCAAATGCGAATTAAATGCTTTGCATACAAGGTATATAAAACATGTTCCATCGATTCGAGTTCGTTGAATGTAAAAGGCTTTTCGAAACTTTTTCAATTACCACGGTAATTTTCGGAGTTTCCGTTCGCGAGAGTCGATTAATCCGACATATTTTTGGCGCGACTGCTCCTTATTACTCCCATGGAAAGCAAGGAAAGTTGTTAATAACATCTCTCTAAAGGAAACTTTAATTAACTACCAGATCGTGCCCATTTCACTTTAACTTCATTCGCTATATAATTTTGAGTAATCCTTGATTACAGAGGACGCACCTCCATCGATATTAATCAGAATCCCCTCGGGTTCTGCATCGACGGAACCCGGTGGAGAACTGGCCGTCTTTCCGGGATCCACGCTCCATTTCGAGTGCATGTTCTCCCGGAGGGTGGGTTCTCCCGATTGGACGTGGACCTCACCTTTAGGCCAGTACCTCACCGGTTGGGCCATCGCTGCCGAAGAAAGAGACTGGAAATACAGATTATCCATATACTACGCCAAATCTCAAGACACCGGCACTTTCACGTGCGCCACACCAAGGGGAATCACGAACAGCATAATGCTTGTGGTAACAGGTAATTGATGAAGATTGCGCCTGCAGATTTTAGGATGCATTAATCGAATTTTTCAGCCATTCATTGCGAACCGATTTCCGTGACTAGAATGCACTTGAGCGTTAGAGTCGAGGGCACGAGGTTGGGACACAAGGCGATATTCCAATGTCCCATGGGGTTCGTGTTATCGGGCGAAGCTAACCTAACCTGCCAAGCTTCAGGTGTGCTGGTAATACAAGTCTTGTGTTAGAAATAGAATTGATTTTGTAGGTAAATGGTCGGCTCCGGTTCCGAAGTGCGAGCTGGTGAAATGTCCGCCGTTGGATACGCCCGAGAACCTGGGCGAACCGCACCTGCAGCTGGAAGAGCACAACAACAGCTACGGCGGACGGTCGGTGTTCAGCTGCGCGTGGGGCTACAAGTTGCAGGGACCTCCTGGGATCGAGTGCGAGCTCAGCGGCAACTGGTCCGGTCCTTTGCCAGTTTGTATCCGTAAGTTTATTTCGTTTGATTCTCTTCGTATTGTGTATTTGATTGGTGCTTCAGCGATTCAATGTCCGCCGCCGGTGCTGCCGCTGAACGGTCATCTGATCCAATCCGAAGCTCCTGGAATGGATGGTGGGAGATACGCAGTGGGGAGTTTGGTACAGTTTGCTTGTGCTGGGGCTCATCACCTCGAAGGGGAGGCTAGTATTATTTGTACAGAGACGGGGTTTTGGTCGCATCCGCCGCCGTTTTGTAAGGGATTGTTCGTGGAACTTTTAAATTATTGTTAATTACTGACCTGTTTTAGGTCGGGTGAAGTGTTCGTACATCGGAGAACCGGAAAATGGCTACGTATCGCCCACGAAATTCGCCTATGATCCAGGAGATGAATTGAACATCGTTTGCAATGAAGGATTCGTAACGAACTCGAATAGCAGTTTATTGTGCATGCAAGATGGAAAATGGTCGTCGGAATTGCCCTCTTGCACTAATGAGACGTCAACGACATATACATAGTTTAATAAAGTTTTTCATACATATCAAACAAAATTAGTAACCATTCGAAAATTTTAGACCAAGTCCAAATATTATCGACAATATTATGACTAGTTACTGATACGAGCATCAAAATAATTTCATTGCAACGCATAGATTAGAATGTATTTTCAAGTTTCAACTCATAATAGGACTTAGATAAATTGTTGATGCATTTTTTTAACTATTTTTATGTCCTTATTAAATCTATTATTAGCATAGAAATTATCGTAATGTAATTTATAAATTAATTAGTGTTTTACAGTAAAGTGAGAATTAATGATTTTTAAATTTATATTTCAATTAATAAAATGTATTATATGTGCTCAATATATTAACTTTACGTTTATTACAACAATATTTTATCATTTACTGGATTTATTTGATGTTATTTACAATTTTAATGGTATTTGAAACTGCAAGTTTTTAAAAAGGTATACAAAATATTCGACATTGTTATTGTTAAAAATACCATATTATATTTATATAAGGGTTTCTAATCGATAGTCAATAAATATTATAATTTACATTTTATGTATGTTTTCTGTCACATATAAACCAACTGCATAGATATTGGTAAATAAGATAAAAAAAATAAAATGATTAACAATTTTACAATGTAAAAACAAAACATTACATTCATTTTCAATAACAAAGTTGTAGATACGTCTTTACACGAATACACGTTTTAAATTTTACTCATTCCTTTCAGAAAAACCTTTATAACACACATACTTTTAAATATCGTAAATATTGTATTTTTGTTAAATACTAAGATACATAAAACAACACATCTTTATTGCAATAAGCTAAATAGAAAAGATGATCCGTAATAGTACAAGAGTAACGTACACAGCGAATAACTTACAATAAATGATTATACATTTAATTCAACCTTGCAAGATCAATTTATTGTGTATTTTTTTTTAATTTGCATGAATACATCAATCTATACAAAATGATTCTTGACCTAAAATAAACGACATCGGTAAAAATTCACAGCATACACAATGATTAAAAAATAGATTTCTACAAAAAAAAACATATTCACAACAGGATGTAAATTTTTTACAACTCTTTGGAAACTATACTAACGTTTACCACTAAGTCTAACAAATTCTTTAAAAGCTTCTTGAATTTCTTCGTCCATTTCCGGCTCGGGATCACACAATTCGTCTGGATCAAAGTCCTCACTGGAAATTGGGAATCAAGTTAATTTAATTTAATTAAAAGTACTTCGAGAAAATATAAATTTACCTGTCAAAATCATCTTGAGCAGTCATATGTCGAGCTATAAACTCACTTTCCTCATTAGTCAATCCTTCGTAAAATACTTCTTCATCGAAAGTGTCATGATCATCAGATTCTGACCTTAAATTCCAATATTATTAATAATAATAAGCAAAAATAGTAAGTTTTAGTAATATATGCAATATATTGCACCGTGTGAAAACGCTCTTACTCTGTACTTTCTCCAGTATGACCCCAATTTGATGATCTCAACTGAAACACGGAATCCAAAAGAATCCTAGCCGAACCTTCAACTCTTCCAATAAACGATTTCAAATCGTCAACAACTTTATCTAGATCGGATTTGTTACTGCGTTCCAGCGAATAACCTGTTAACTGTAGAACCAATTAGTTGCATCGTCATGCAATTTTATTCAAAATATATACCTTAAGCGATTGACAGACGCATTTGATGCTGTCGCTGTCTCCGATATTGATTAATTTTTGAAACGCTGTTATTAGTAGAGATCCGTACAAATTTTCGTGAGGGAGATGAATGTAAAGTTCAGCGATGAAGGGCAGACAGTTCATGATGTCGGAATTGTCCTGATTATCTACAATTTTCTTTTTGCATATCATATGCAAATTGGCACGGAACATCGGAGAAATCCTTTCGATGTACCAACACAATCTCGCGCCGGTATACCTAAAGTTTGGATAAATAATCGCCTAAAAAAATGACAGTTATCCATAATCAGCTGTCAGAATTAACGTGTATTTTACCTGATTCACAATTATTCCTGTAATATCTGATATGGGTATGCCATTACTAACGTAGGGTTCTAAAGTTTCCATAAAAATGTCTAATAAATTATGAAATTGGCCTGGATCCTTTGTAAGCGTTCCAATGATCCGTTTCAGTCGATCGAAGTCAGCCGAGGAGTCTCTCCGGTTTTCCACCATGTGCGCTTGATTGTCATCATTCACTCCATCATTTTCGCTAACCTTCTCCGGATTCTTGTGCTTCTTCAAGCGATCTTGTATTCGACTAGGATTTTCCCCTGGATTGTTGAGAGGAACGGGTTGAGCAATCGGTTTCGAAGGAAACCATTCCTCTGCATCTGCTCTTAACGTCGAATTCGCCACCAACTGCTCTAATTTCTTATCGCTCCTTTGTTGCAACTGTCCACTCACCTCCGCGTTCTGGCCGAACTGCACGGAATTCGGCTGCGAATTCTGCTGGGATGCAGGTAGCTCACTGTAAGGAATAGTTTTAGGCGGCCTGCGTTTTGTCTGCAAATCTTTGCTGTCTTTATTCCACAAAGTGGTGTTCTCCATTGCGAAAATATTTGTAAATTTTCTCTTACACGTTCATGAATGAATCGGGACAATTACTATTAACCAATTTGCAGCATAACCCAAAAGAAAACAAAAATCTTCCGCAAAAATCACAACGCATTTGACAATTTTATTTTCCTTTGACGTTTTGACTGCTGACATTGACGTATAAAAATTTCATCCAATATGACGTTCGATTGTACGAAATTGGAAACACATTTTATATTATCCTATTATAACTCAATTATGCTTTAGTAAATAGACATAATTCCTTAGTAGCTATTCCAATTTTAATTAAATAGATCTAGTAGTGAGTTGTAAATTATTAAAAAAAAAATCAAACTAACATACCTCATTCCATCTAATCAAACGAACAAAGATTATCTGTCAACAACATTAGTATTTCTGTCATGTCATATTTGTCAATAATGTCAAAGTTTGTCACATTTTTATAAACAAAACAAATTACTCTTAGTTTCGTATTTTATAATTTAATTAGTATGTCTATCATTTATACAGGGGCCTTCAGTAGGTCTGGAGGTATTTACAGTGCAATACAAAAGCAATTAAAAATGGTAAATTTAAAACTTGTAAAAAAAATCCAGGTTCAATTCGACCCGTTCCATCCCAATGCAGTAACAGCCAGGTGAGGTACACAGCACATAACCCTCGAATTGTATCGATTTTCTAAATTTAGTTTAGCGCAAGCGTATTTAGAGATTTTCACGTAAAATATTTTCCTTCCAGAGATTTTCTTTTTCACATTTCCAAACCCTACGTTCTAGAAACAAATCTGAGTTGCATTGTGAAAACCAACGTGGTTTGCGATCGAAGTGAGCCCCAAATAAAGATAGATTTAGGCGATTCAAGGTAATGTTTTTACAGCTTTATATTGTATTTTTGCTGCTGTATAAATATATCTTATATTTTTTTAGGACAGTAAAGTTTCTAGCCGATAATTTGACTGTATTAGAAATTTTGCAACAATTTAATAAGCATATAAGTTCAAAAGTGCCTAAAGAGACTATATCGTCTCCGGCCACAGCTAAAATCGAAGGAAAAAAGAGGAAAGGTAGAAAGTGAAGAATCATGAGATTCAGTAGAAAAAAAGAATTTCCTTTCAAAGTCATTGAGCAAATTTATGAAAATGTTCCTGCCTTCACCGATGTATTCACCGAGGATACATTTTATATTTTTGCCATAAGCGTTGTTATAAGTACTATTATTGCTGTTGTTATAATATCTAGGTTTGTGACTATTAAGGAAGTTGAAATTTAATTTATGTTTAATCATTGTGGATTCGTTTTAAAATAAATGTTTTTTTCTTAGTTCTAATAATTATTTTTTCTTGACATTCATGATAGTTCCTTTAATAAAATAAAGGAATTTATAGTTTCAATGTTAAGCAAAATATATTTCTTCAGAAAATTACAATATTCATCAAATCTCATTTTATTGTCAAAAGCAAAATAAACAAAAAGACTAACCCAAAATTTTTCTATGAAGTTTAAAAAAGCACTTTTCTGTACAATCGTAACATCAATTTGCGTTTGTAACTACATACATTCAGGATGAAGCAAATCTAAATAATGTCCTGCAACACATCCACGTGTCGTTCTTCCTAATCTCATGCAAGTTCCAATTTCTTTCTTCATCACCTAGGAAAACCAAATTTAAAAAAAAAACCACTTACAATCTCCTATCTTAGCTTATGTCATCGAATAAATTTCTTATAATTAAAAGATGAATAAAATTGTAAATACCTGATACTCCACTTCGCAAGGAACGCCCGGTTCACCCATACGATCGTTATTAATATACTCCACCTGTTTGTCAGCCTCCAAAATGGGTATTTCTTCTTCCATTAAAATTTCCTTCTGCTGCGTAAGCATTATCGGAAAGCCCGAAACCAGGAAAGCAGCAAACAAGAAAATGTACCCCTTAGCCATTGAAAGGAACTGTTAAGAAACCGTTTAAATGCCCCGCCTTATAAACTATACGCTCAAAAATGGCGAATCCTTAAAGTTTATTAATTAACGTCGAGCGGTTACTGCTAAAAATACATACCGAACCCCCGGGTAAAATTTTCCTTAATCAAGGACCACACGCGTTTCCATTTTCGGAAGTTTGGTGGACTTTGTATTATCCTGGAAACATTAAACAGACGTAGATGTTTCGAAAACATTTAATTTAATCTTGCAACAGTTCAGTTAAGGACTTTAAACTTTGTCGACCGAATGAGCAACTCAATAGGTACATTATAGAAATAGCAGAAATGAAAACTACTGTTTATTTAAATATGTTTTATTATAGATAGAAAAATTAAAAAGAAACGCTATAAGTTTGATTAAAATGGTAGTGGTTCCGTAGCTAATTTAGGCTGATTGTCGTTTAGAGTGTTTTCTCTGGAACTCTCTATAACTTGATGAATCTCATTCGTTCGATTGTTCATTTCATTATTTACTGCGGTAGCATCAGCTCCAGGAACATTATCAGCGATAGAGGAAGTTTGTGAAGCGGCACTCACAGTTGAAGTGGGAATAATAGTTTGTATTGGAATAGTTTGCGGCAATTCACATCTGCAAAATTTAACAATAAGTGACTAGATAAGGTTTTTAATGGTAAAATTACCTATCCAAATCTTCTGGTATCTTATGCGGCCGGCAACCTTTTACAGCATAAGTAACCACAACACTTGGATCTTTCACGAATGTCGTTTGCAACTCCAATTGGGTTACTGTAACAGTGGGAGCATAAATGCCTAAATATTCTCCCCAGCCTAATGGCGTTGCTTCCGTTTTGATCGATTTCGCCTGAACGGCTTTATTAAATACACTGCCCCTGTAAAATACAAACATTTATTCATCGAGCTCTACTCGTAAATAGAAGTAAAGAAACATACCAAGGTGCGAAATTAGGAAACCCAAGATATCTGACGCTTCTGCAGGGCTGCAAAGTGGGATCGATTGCGACACATGACGATGGCACTAAAGAAGTAAAAAGTTGCGTGGAAGTTACGTAACTGGTGCGAGTACCGCCAATGAATCTTCTTGGCGATTTTTAACATTAGCAGAATGCGCTCCTACTAATAGGAGAACGAAAAAATAGATTGTTTTCGGGCACATTTTAAGGAACAACTGACCGTTCGTTGTGCGTTTACAGGTAGGTTACTTATTTATTTATCTACCTGTAAGTTATCTTGTTTTTCTTCGAAACGGAAGTTATTTGTCTGAGGGTTTAGGGCTATTTTCGTCCGAGATTTCTAAATTTATGTCGCTTAAAAGAAAGTTAGGCACTTAACATTCGTAAAATAATATATTTATCACACAAATACAAATTTGTACTCAGTACACATAACATTTATATTCCAATCTGAACAATGTACTTCGATGCTTTGCAAGTAAAGGTACTCTTATGATCGTCGTAAGCGTAGCTATAAGCATCAGGACACCGATCCTTGAAGAATTTGGGATAGTCCTTCGGCCACGAAGAACTTCTGCAAGTTTCAGGTCGATTGTGGGCGTTCCTGCAACAGTACTGATCGGTGTTGAATTTATTGCAAGCCGAATGACACGCCACGGTTCCGTGTTCCGTGGTTTTTCTCAATTCCCCGGGACAATCGTCGTTCAAATGCCTCAAACAAGCGGTGCGTTTGCAACTGTATCGACTACCGTCTCCTTGACCATTCACCGGTGTCATCTAGAATCGAATAATTAGCGAATATTCGTATTTAAAATAAGAATAAAAATGTATTTACGCTCATAGCTAAGTTGAATCCGTCTACAAGTGAGATGTCGTAATAATCGATGCCGCCCCATCCTTTTAAAGTAATCTCGGCTAGTGTAACGGGAGGAACCCCACCGGCTCCTCTGCATTCCAATTTGTTCCCGCAATCGCCGGTTATGCAATGCTTTGAGTTGTAATCGCACCACGTTCTGCCCCAAAACCGACCGGCCCAATCTTCGGGCGCGTGGATCGTCCTCTGCGAGATAAAAATTCATTACAATCATTCTGAAATGTGTAGTTAGATAAATGTTACCCTGGCGCCGGCTTCGAGTACGAAACCGCCGTTTTCCAAGTGCGGTTTTCCGGCATTTCCTTGGATTCCTACCCACACTGCGCCGATTTCTTTGTTAACGATTTCGAATTCAACGGCATTGGTTATTGTGGCAATAGCTGAAAATAAATAACATATTTAAAAGTATATTATAAGCAGGTACATATGTAAACAAATGTAATAAAATTAGATACTTACCCCCGATTACTGTTATAAACAAAGAGCTTGAAATCTTCATTATACGTAGATATGACTTGAACAAAATGTGTAGATGTAGTGCGGTGAACACCAGTAATTTTGAACTATTTATATGTGATCTGTTATTGAACTATAATAATTTAAAAATATAATAAACTTACGTAAACTATTGGAAATATTGTATTGAATTGGGTTTTCCATGCTTTGTATGTGATTAAATAGCAATTATTATTGTTGAAAAATACGTTTTTTTTTTATTTAAGAAAAGTATGTGATAACTGTAAATAACATATTATGTTAATTCAATAATAATTAATTACCTAATGCGTAATTTATATCAAAAATATGGTTAATTAAATTAATCTAATGTTAATTGGAGCTATTTCATTATTGTTTGTATATTATAAAGCATTGAAAAGGTTCAAATTAGATTAGACTTTGTAGAGTATAATCTTTGCAAAAAAATCAGTACGTGTCCAAGATAAACTTGTTCACCCTGCTTTATAGAGAATTGGCATTTATCTAAAGATGTGGAAATTCCTACTGAAATACTTGTAAATAGCATTAGTTATTATAAAAAAAACTACTAAACAAATAACATTCAGAACGATATTTTCTAGAAATAACTCAAATACAAAAGTAGAGAGCATAACACTGCCCCATTAATAACTATTTACTTATTGCACTTTTGCAAACTATTTCGGAGTAATGCACAATAAATAGCAATAATTTTTCCAACGAACGTTCTGCATTTTTTTTCACCAAATAATAACTCTTTTATTAAATGAGTCGTAAAATCAAAATTGTATACGGCCATTTCACTTTAACAATTTGAAATTAGGCCGCATGTACCTACTAGAGCACAGTCCAATGAAAATGAAATTCTATTAGAAATACAATGCATATCTAAAATTTATTACAAAATTCGCAATATTTTAATAACCCAGTTTTTATTACTACAGTTACATTAATTTAGCATTGTACAAAATAATAATCAAAGAAATGTTCTTCTTAGATTACCTACGAGATATAAAACAAATATCGTAGTTATTATAAATGTGAGATGAGTATTAAATTTCAATCAACTATTAGTTAGTAAAATTTTCAAAGCGAATACCATTGTGTATTAATCGAACGGTGCAAGGTTATTGTGGCATTAGTTCTGGGAACTGTACCTAACGCAGCCTAAAATTAAACATCATGCGAATTCTTACTTTCATATTGTTTATTGTTGTTCGCTTCTTAAATGCCCTCCCATTAAGAAAACGAGTTTAAATCGCCAAGGGAAAGTAGGGAATCCTATATATGCCACTTAACGAGAAGACAACGAATATCTTCAAACGAAAATTCGGTCCAATTTTATTGTCGCGTTTTTTATTAAGTTCCGTAGGTAATAATAAATTTCCCGATGTACTACCTTAATTGCTAATCAAGTCTAATTTGCAGGAATTGGCATACTTCCTCAGTAGGTACTTACGATGCGATAGAAATATCTGGAGAAACATCGTATTTTGTTGTCTACATCTATTAATGAAGCACTGAGTTTTTTTGGTAATCATAAGAAATTTATTTACTAAATTAAGTAGGTAATTGTTTAATTAGTGGAAATAATAAATCATTTCAAAATTTATTGGCTTGTTCATTGCGTTTTTCTCGGCTATCAAATATATAAAAAGTTTATTCATGCTGTCTCGAATTTCGAGTGAAAGCAAAAATAATCGAATTTAATAGGAAATTCCGATTAATCAAGCATCTCAACAAATATTTTCCCGATTATCCGAAGAACTCGCCTTGTTCGATATTTTCTATTGTACCATTAACGGTACATTAGCTACCTCTAACCATCTAGTCTCTAGAGGGAGATTATAAATAAGTTCACTTTTTATTTCTCTCGGCTAGTTCGATTCCAATTCGCGTAGGTACACAATACAAGCGCGGATCTCGATCCGATGCAATTATGCACCTCTCGATTGTGTTGGTAACGGTATTTACCGTTAAAGTTCGCGCCAATTTGCTGCAAGAATGCGCCAAATTGTACAATCCGGGGAATTACATGGGGCATTTGCCGTCGCTGAAGCTGCCCTATCTCGGGGACGTACCGATACCGAACAACATGCCCTCGATCAAACCCACTCCGGTGGCGAAAACCAAAGCTATTAAGGTAGTTACTACCTATGTGTATAGGAATCCGGTGTGCGTTAAATACAGCAAGAAAAAGGGCATGTGCAAGCAGGATAACGCGATCAAACACAAGGGGAATTACGAGCAATTGGTTACTAAGGAGTATTTCGTTAAAGACAGGAACAGCAGAAACGAGGAAGTGAAGAATAGGCACAAGAGGCAATTTGATGATGAGGATGATGAAAACGATGATTTAAAGGAAAGTGGTGAGAATAGGTAAGTTGTGCACCTTACTAATGCACTACAATATCAATAGTAAGCAAGTTTGATTGAAGTGATTTTTATTAATTCATTTTTTAAGACTGTAGGTTATATTTATTGGTCACAAACCAATTAAATCCAATACAGCACATTGAGTTATGGAATCACAGTTGGAACACACCTGTAACCGGAACCGGCTATGTACAGTTCCACAAAACTAGACCATATCTGTAAATGTGCTAACATACAGGCATTAATCTGTTCGATTAATTTTTTAACGGATCGAAAATAAACCGCGCGAACAATTTTGATTAGTTTAATAGACTGCAAAACTGTTAAAAGTTGCAGGTTGCAATCTAGTCACTCAATGTGCGAAAATATTTATAATGCATTCTAAGAGGATTCTTCTAACAGTTTTATAATTACTAGAAGCGGAAGTCATTGGATTGTCTTTCTAATTAACTAATTAATTACATTTTTTAGGTATCAAAAACCGAATATTATTCGAGCAGACCACTACTACCCAGATACCAACGATCTGGAGACCAGCGAAAGACATCCTGCCCTCAACGAGAACCGGAAAACTCCGGGACTTTCGGCGAAACATCTGGAGAACATGCTGATAGAAGATCGACTGGATCAACTGGAAACCATCCTGCCGCATTACACGAGAAGGAGAACGTACGAAACGTCGACAATAACCGTGACCAAAGTGCTCAGCAATCACAGGACAATGGCGACCTTGGTGGTAAAAAATTGCATACCCTTCGGGTTCGAATTGTGCGATCCTCCGGCGCCGGCCCGGAAAAGACAATCGAAAGTGGCGAAGCTTTCGAACAAAACCAACGAGCGCTATTTTTTTGGGTAGTTTTAAACGTAGTAATTAGTTTTTTAATTGCTATGTCGTGATAAAAAGTGAATGCGGATGTTTAATTTATTTATTTTATTCTTAATTGTTATTAGGCACATTCGAGTTGATGGTAGATGAGATTGTGATGGGTAAATAATGGTATAATGAGAAGTTTGAAAGATATAAGTAATTATTTCATGAAGAGTTTGCATTGTGATGCTTTTCAATGCAATAATTCGTTGTTCGCTTTCTTAGAGAAAGAACCTAGTAATGTTTGTAAGAAATTGTGATTTAAATGCTTGTATTTTTTGTTATTTGCATTTTATTAGTTATGAAATTAAGTATTTATAAATAAAAATTGTTTTCTGTGGTTTTGTTTTGTTTATTCCAGTACCTATTCAGAGTTGAGTTTTAAACTTTTGGTTTGTTTCTATGATTGTCTCATCCTCAAGCCGTTGATAGTTGTTATTCACTATTTTTTTCTCTATTTTTGTATTTTTCTATTAACTTCCTCCCCCATATGATTCGTCTTAATGTTACATTAGGAAGTTCAAGACTTTTTTTGCGATTGAAGTCAATCTTTCGGCAGAAACATTATACTAAACATAAGATTTTCTAATTCATTTGTAATATAAAAGCAATCTGGTTAACCACATTGGATAATACTATTTTTTACAAACAGATGGCAGGTAGGCATAAAGTTTAATTTAAGCATTTTGCAGGAATATCATTCCTGAGAAACTGTGAAACTGGCTGCCTACAAATTTTACAAATGCTTTGATCAAATATTCTAAACCTGCACTTATTTGAAACAATATCTCTAAATTACAATATAGCATATTTTAGGATTTTAAATGAATAAAATTCAGTATTATTTCTGTAACTCCAGATGTAAGCAATAGCGAATTTTTGGTTATTCATACTGTCTTTCCAGAACCAACTCTTCAGGTAAACTTTTCATACAAATGAAATTTGAACGAAGAAAATTAACAAGAGAATCTAATCAATAACTTAACACTCTTGTATTACTTAAATATCACGCGATCGATAAAGAACTTTAAATAGAATATTGGCGTGTGCTAAGGATGAGCTTTGCGCACCGAATTTACTTTGATTATTTTTATTGTAACTATACACCCACTCATGCGTGTGAAACATTTTTTTTGTTACAAAAATATCGTTTTATAAAATACCTCGCACTGTTCTCTCGAGCATTTATATTAATGTTGACAAAACTACCAGCGATTCGTGCTGGAGGCGCATTACGTGGTGAAGTCATTGGTATTTTTGCCTCTGTTGTTGTCATTACCTAATGAAATTCAGCCTTATTGATTCGAGTTGCTTAGTTTGATAAAATACCTTTACGGGATATTAATTAAAATTTTAGTAGTTATTCATGCTAGTGAGCGATATGGAAGTGACGAAAAATTTGCTACCCAACGAACAAGTAAGTTTAGTGAATATTTAATCGGATTGTCCATAACAAAATGCTGGTTCTTCAAAAGTGGATAAAATTGCGTGTAAATGGGAGACAATCAAACTCCGTATGACTATAATTTTTGGACATTAATTTAACTTCTTTTTTATAGTAACATAATGACTGAGATCTAGTTTTCACGTGCTGATAATTACCTTTATGAGCCAACAATTAATTAAGTTTGGTCTGATTTTTGATTTGCCATTGTAACGTGTTTTGTGCTAAACGAATGTTACAAACAGACCGGTTTTATCAATCCGAATGACATTTAATAATCCTAATTGAATATAAAATACTCATGTAATACAACGCTATTGAACTTGGTTACCTTTATTGCAAAAAATCGAAGAAACCAAGTCAAGGTTTTCTAGTTGGTACTTAATTTTTATTTATTCCAAGCATATATGTATGTACTTAAATAGGGATACTTATTTCAAGTTTATTCTGTACTTATAAGTAAAATTTAGGTACTTATACTTGCGCACTGGATGAATTAAAACATAAACATAAGTTCTTGTTAATAAAAAAAGTAAATTTTCAAAATAATTCAATGTCAAATCGCTCATGGATATTAAATTGGATTAGTTATCTGAAAGAGATTGATCAAATAAGGTTTATTAAATATTTTTAACTTTAATTTAGTGCAGAAATTATGAATAGACTGCTAATTTATTTAGTATCTACTGCCTGAAATTGTTAAAATAAACTGAGAAATTCTATTTTATTAATCAATTATCGATAGCTCGGTATAGAATTAATTTTGTAAATAAAATTACTGCAATATGAATTTGATGGAAATTTGTAAATACAAGGTTTTGCATAAAATGTCTCTCAACTTGTATTGAATTCTAGGACAGAAACATCTCAAAGATTTAATCACTTACGAAAATATTATTATGAAAACCATAGTTCATATTATAACAAAACTATTATGCTCATTGTTAATAGAAATAATATTCAATCTGGCATAGTTTAAAAATGATTTTTCTAAACATTCGAAAGGAATTGCATTACCAAATGCAAACGCGTAACTGGCATTTTTTACCTATACAATTAGGTATGTTTAAAATCGTTTCATCTAAGAAAAATCCTTATACATATGGTTCTTATTTCTCTTAACAAGAAAAAAAATCCTGAATTTTGAACCAATTACTCAACATTTGTGAAAAATACCAAAATTTCAACAATTTGTCATAGTCAACAAGCACGAAAAGTCAACGAACGCAACACACAAAAGGCCTTTTAAACTTTTTACATAATGCCAGTAAAATAAACGATAATTAGCCATAGAAATATACAGTACACACTTTTCACGATGCAGTTAGTTGGCGAGGCCTCTCACCTGCCACAGAGGAAGTGAAAAATGGAAATGATCAGTTAAGCGTATAGACAAAACACACATACATACAGCACAGGACATCGAGCAGTTCTCTATCATATATCCCATACACCATGATGCCGGTTTCTCCGAGTCTCTCGGTGGTCGGCGAGCAAGGCTGAGGTCGCGTTGCCCAGGTTGTGCCCACTCCATCTGTTGTTGTTGTTTGGCCGGCGAGGCCGATTCTCGTACGCGATCGCTCGTTGTTGTTTTGATCGAGCCTCGATTCGGTCATTTTCCGTTCCGGTTTTTTCTATTATCTTTTGGCTACAATTCGTGTAGTATGGGAAATAAGTTGTGCAAGAAGAAATCCGACGATGCGGACGGTCCTAAGTGCAAATCGACGTCCCAGTTCGATAGGATTATCAATAGATTGCACGTGAGTTTTTGTTAATTTGTACTCGAGTTGAACGGCGGATTACACACAGAAACCTGTTTTCCAGTGGTTCTGAATGGATTTTGTATTAATGAATTTTATTAGTCATCGCGTCGAGAAACCTTGGTAAAAGATGGGTGAAGTTGTTGCATGTAATTTAATTGATTATTAAAAATTAACAAAACCGTTTTAAGTGTCCTAGATTGGTACAAAATTAATTCCATACATTCCTTGCTCTGGTAACTACGGACTGCGTGTATGTTTTTCATGAACGTGTTAATAGAACACGAAAATAGCTTAAAATAGCATCTTATGCATTAAGTTTTCCTATTTTTACTCGCATACTTCATTTAAATATAAATTGTTTCCCATAATTAGCATCATTAAAAATTGCTTTTACATGCAAACTATCCAAATTAATTCGCTAACATTTTGCAGAGACTATTTGCATTGTTTCAAATGTACTTTGATTCTGCAATAGATACCTGTTATGCAAATAATGTTCTCAGTTAAATGAAAAGAGTAGGCCCAACAGGACAGAAAACATGGCAATATAAATCAAGGAAATAAAGTCTAAACGCCTACAAATGAAGCAGAGGAAGATATCCCACGTTTTAGACCAACGACCGGAGTATGGCCATTAATAAAATATGCCTATAATAATTAATGTCATCAAATTAAATTTCTTAATCGATATGTATTAATTTTTTTTTAAAGTTGGAATAAACAAAATATGAAGGCAATTCTGGGGCGTAGGAGTATTTTTCTTCTACATCAATATTTAAAAGGAAATTGTCGTAAAAAACATAATTCATGCAAAAATAACTAAAGGTACCTACTACCTATTTATTAACAATAAGTTATTGTGAATAACACTTTTATGAACAACGTAGTATTTACGCACTTAACATTTGAAATGTCGACAATAATTAAATATTGTAAAATGACTAATTTATAAACAATTTTATGATGATACTGAAAAACTAGTTTTTAAAAGCACACTTCATATACACCTCTATTTGTTTATAGTAATTATTAAACATACACTCCCACAATAATTTCAACGAATAAACATAAGATTAGGTGCCTATTAATATTTATCTTCACGTTTACATCCTCTGAATAATATTCATTATTAAACTATTGTTGCAGAATAAATATCGTACATTACTTCTTCCAAATGACACTTTCCACACTAACAAAAAATAAATATAAATAGTTACTGAATAAGGAATACACGACTTTATGGGAAAGCTGAAGAAAATTGAAAGTGCTTTCTAATGTCCTAATACAAATATTCATGGGTTTTGGATGCAATAAAAACGCAAATCAAACTCTTCATGCATCCATTAACCTTGCGACCGGACGGATAAGCTTTAGCGTCCGATGAACTCTTCACCAAAATTTCTTTTTAATTAAAAAATAAACGATATTTACCTAATTGCAGGAAGCGAGCCGCTTGTTAAAAAGAAAACGCGATCAATTATGCGTTAAATTAAAAATTTCATAATAATCCTTTAATAAGTCGCAGGGTAGGACTTTTTACTACATTCTATATCAAGTGATTTGTAAACAAAGACCGTTTCGTATAGCGAAAGTGATATTTTATTTCGCAAGCAAAACGCATAAAGGTACAAGTAAATACCAGGTGCAGTAACCCACTTATGAAAATAAATGGTTAATTTAATTGATAAGGTAAAACTGTATTTACTCTTAAACAAACTAAAGATTATATCGTACACAGTTATGTAGGTATTTCAAATGAATGCAACCTGGCTTTGCAATTTATAATAATCTCACCGTTTATACTTATTTTACTTTTCTTGTATATTTAACGCATTCTTTAACTGTATTTAAATCTTCTTGCGCCAACTGAGGTCAATAACTTAGGTAATAATTATATAAGTTTATTTACTTTAATTTACTTTTATCATTTCAACAATAAATAGGTAATAAAGGGAACTTATTTTGGTACAATTCATAAATGGATTTGGTTGAATTAAAATAATTAACTACGTTTTTATATCAACAATTAGTGTGTACAATGTAGGTTAATATTCTAATTAGGGTCATTTGGGTATCTATAATAGACACTAATGGTTTGCATTTTAGTGTTAAATACTCTATTGCCAATTTGACGAAATAAGTTTCAAACCGATAATTTAAATAATTTCGAATAAATTTTGGCGAGTAGTATGGAAATATAAAGTTTAGTTATGCAAGGTCGAATAATCGAACATAATATACAGAAATTTCCAATTTATGTAAATCTGGTTTAAATTTAGAAATTGAATAGGCGTTCTTTCTCTTTTCCACATGAAATATAACAACTTTACTCATAAATATCGCTACTTTGGATCAAAACACACATATATTATATCAAAACGAATAAAATCAAAGTCACAACCTAACCCGATGCCTTGGTTCCGACGTAATTACTAATTTATAGTGTCATTAAAGGTTGAGATCATTCTCTTAAATACTTGCGTAACCTTGACTTGCGTCTACCTAGAATACCAATTGCTTGGACGTGATTACTGATCGTGAAACGTAAACTATTTTAATCGTCACTTTAGGATTCTGGCATGAGTAATTTATCCTGTTATTCAAAAACTTGGAAAAATTTATATCAATAAAAACCACGGTAGTAGTTTATATCAATAAAAACCACGGTAGTAGATACAATGATGTAAGAATATCTGCTTAGATGACTCTATTGCCATTTGAATTCAACAAAGTTAATTATTGTAATGGGTTTAAAAGTTTTAAATGGAAGGCTTGCTTTCAAACACAATAGTTTATTGCCTTTCCCTAAAAGCCTACGCTCTGTTGAAGGGATCGACATCCAACTCGGTTATTTTCTCGTAAATAGCATTATTTCATTACATAATCTTTAATAATTAGAGACTATCTCGGCGCCGGTTTATGCTGAGGCCACACCAAGCGCGATGTTCGCTACGTTCGCTACGTTCGCTACGTTCGGGACGTCGCCAACATGTTTGATTGTCGGCTATATTTTGAAAACGTCCGTAGCGAACGTAGCGAACATAGCGTAGCGCTTGGTGTGGCCTCAGCATTAACCGTTCATTCTACCCACTGCTACGAATTAATAAATCTCTGAAATATTTTATGTTGTGCTCAGTTTTACGCCGCTAAACAGCGATGATAGTGTTTTTTAGAAGTTCTGCTTTAATTAATACTAATAATAGATTTCGTTGAGTGCCTCATGATTATTTGCAACTGTTTATTAATGGGAATGATTGCAATCTCGGATCAAAAGGAACACAGCAAATTGAGGTTGTTTTAAGAGATTAGTCAATGGAATTCCAATTATAATTTGGGATTGTAATTATAACGAATAACCAACGCCAGATCATACTATTGTTACACTGATGTGTTGAAACGTAGTTTGATTTCTTTTCAATATAATTTTTATAAATACCAAAATCTAATAGAAATTTAATAGCAGAATAGGCCGTAATTCCAAACTCTACCATTTGAACAAAAAACATAGTCATTAGTAATAAATCACCTGTTGGAAATTGCACAGTAGCTGGTCGAATTCAAACGGAGAGGTCTCGTTAAACTCCCACAACGAGAACAGTTATCCGCGTACCATAAAAGTATCATTTTAACTGTGAGCAATGATTAAAATTGCTCGTATCGCAATTATCGAGCGTACGCAAGAGAATTAACAGTTAGTGGTGTCTCTTTGTTGCAGATTCGACCTAATTCCTGGAAATCGGATCCGCAGTTGAATCAGAAGCAAGTCAAAAGGTACGTTAAAACCAGTTTGCAACGTGCACTTCGATGCACCGAAAGCAAGCTATTAATATTACGGGAATGTGTACTAATTAACCGATTATTACATTCCATGCATATTTTGTTGTAAAACCAATTTAATCGACAGTTTTAGTTCGCTTGAATTTTTGATTGCTCTTCCTATTTCCTACTGCAATAAAGATATCCGCTCCGGATGGCAATTTTTTAATGAACTAAACATTTTGTTTTTGTTGTGTAACGAATTAAAATTATGTGACATTGCTCGTGAGGTTTCCACTAATTAAGTTGGTAAACAATCGGACGATTCAAATTAATACACACAAAAGTGAAAGCTATTTGGAAACGAAACGACAATTGCAGCAGGTAACATCCTAATTTGGCGGAAATAAATTCCCGCAGTCCAATATATTCTGCTCTCCATTAAAAACATGTAAATTTATTCTCATAGAACGAGATTAGAAATTCACTTTGACTGTTCAGTTTCATAATTTATTGGTAGCCATCTAAAATTTGCACATTTTCCATTTGGATTCACGTAGAAAAAAAGCCAAAACGCATTCAAACGGTATAAACACTTTATACATAAACAAATAAGAGAAAGTCCTAATATTTTATCGTTGTTTTACAGGATAGAAAAGAGCCCTAACGAAAAAAACAATGCTGTTATAACGAACAAACCTCTATCGAAATCCACCGATTGGACTGAAGTTGATCTTCAAGTTCCCGAAAAAGACGAACCTATACATCTAACTAACCCTAAATTGAATCTTATTTTCAACGACGACAAAGGCACCCCGACTCCACCGCCAAGAAAGAACAAAAAGAAGAATTTAAGAGAAAAAATCGAAGCAGTTGCCAAATCAGGCAAGTATTTCACTCATTTTTTTAGTATAAATTCAACATTTTTTGGTTCTTCCAGGTCTTCAAGCTTTTCAATCCAAAAAACCAGTCGAAGACAATCAGCCGCAGAAACAACCAGTGGAAGAAGAATTGTGCGTCAAGAAAACCATATCCTACAAATGTCCCATATGCGATTTAGACGAAGCCACGCATAATAGAGATCACCACCATAACCATACGCATCACCATTCGGACACCAAAAATGATATTAACAAATTCGAAACCAGGAACAACAAAGGCAGCTTGAAGGGGAAGAAAACCATTTCAGTTACTTCTCTACCGAACTACGACGAGTTAAAGTTCACTGTAGCTGAATTTGAGGACGATAAAGGTACTTAACATTCTTCTTTGAAAATTTCCACGTTCTGGAAGGCTCCTGGATAGGAGTAGATTAAGATTAAGAGTTCTATCTTATAGTCCTCCTTTATAAATACTCAGAGTCTCATTAGTCTTCTCCCTTTGGATTCATTCCTGTCCATTGATGCCCAATTTCATTCTACATTCTCACCCAAGTGTCGCAGCAATATTAATATGTTTTCTTGTAATTTTCTAGGATCACCATCGCTAAAGACCGAAAGAAAACCAACGCCTTCTCAAATATCGCTACCCAGCGACGCCAAGAAAATACCAGCAGGAAAATTAGACACTTACATAACGAGATGCCGCAGCTTTGGTTCGATTTTCCCGCAGCAATTGAAGAAACTGCGGCCGCGAAAAGCGCCCACGGACATCGAAAGCGACGATTCGTTCGGCGGATTGGAAGACTGGGACTTGGGATTGATCGAACACTACAATCCGAAGGACGCCAGTTTGCCCAGGCCTAGGAAGCCCAAGCGCAACGACGACAGCATACTGGCCGATATCGAGAGTATGATAGTGAAGGAAGAAGACATCGAGCAGCCCAAACCGCCCGTTAGGCGATCGGAATCGTTGATTAAGAAGCTGAACAGGGAAGCAGCGCAAAGATCTAACGATTTAATTAAAAAGCAACAAGATAAGTCTGTTGAGCATCCTACGCCTCCTCCTTCGCCTGAAACTAAACCAGTAGTGGTAGAAACTACAATATCCAAAGGGGTAGCACGGCCGGAACTCAATCGATTTCCTTCTCAAGAGAACGGGCACGTGGAGCACTCTAGTTTGATAAAAATTTTGGAGAAGTTTAGCATGGCAGATAAGCAACATCTAGTAAACGAGAACAATAACAGTAACGAATCGTCTTTAACGCCTTCCCTAGTCGAATTCGAGAAAACTATAAATTTCGCTGATGATGTAAATAACGTAGAAAAAAACAAAGAGGCGATAATTCCGGAGAATAATAGCAACCAACCCATCAAGACTTAATTATTTATTACGTAGCTTAGTTTTGTTGTAAATATTTAATTAGTTATTGTTTAAATTTTTTATCATTAACGTTTTTTTGTCTTTGTTATATACAAATACTCAAATTTTGTATGAAGTGCTTGAATTTTTATTTATTTTGTTAATCTTCTGCTGATTCGATTTTTTCTCATATATTTATTATTATTTTCGATTGGAGGAACCAAATTTGTGATGTGAAGAGAAGGTTAATTAACCAGATTGGCGCTTGAATATAATCCTAGTGCACATTCGTTTCATATAAATTACGTAAGATTCAGATAATTCTATTTCCTCAGGGCTTGTCTGTAAAGTTATTACATTCCAAATATTTAATAAAACTGAACTCGTTTTGATCCAATTTCTGTTCTCGTTAAAATTAGCTAGTGGAGTCATCGCGAGTATCAATCGATTACTTTGTTAATTTCCTAGTATAATTAAACACCGCTAGTTTGTTGGGTTTTATTTTACTCTTTTTTATCAGCAGCAGTAAATTAGAAAAGGTTACTTCCTAATGGGCTTTTTACAATCTGTTTATTGCTTGCATAAGCCACACCAACATAATCGCTATTATAGAGGTGCATATATTTTTACTGCAACATTTAGAAAAATATCCAATGAGGCATTAAACTGTAATTATTTATTGGTAACGTAATGGCGCAAATAAACAACGTGTATCATGTAACTGCTTGAATTAAATGCCTATAAAATGTTAACAACTGATTTCTTTAATTGATTATCCGATGACGGGCTGTAAAATTTATTATATACGTACAAAAAAACTATTAGCTCATAATTATTCACGAATGTGATTTTGGGCGAAGTCTGATTTTTTTTATCTATTCGATTACGGGAACATTAGTTCTAATTAAGACCAATCCCATTAGTGATAGAAAGTCGAACACCATCCACAGTTCTGATTGTTAATCTTCTAACAACAAAGGTGACATAATATCAATATCGGAATTTGAACGTAACAGTTGCATTAATTTTCTAAATCTAATATATTTTGCGGTTAACCCAGAAACATACATTACTGCACTGGTAATTTAAAAGTGATTTATACATGTAATGTTTCGAATGCTGAATAAACGAGACAAAGGACAATTATTACGATTATTTTAATTTTAGTGCAAGCAGTGGGTAAATCATTTTTTTATCGTAAAAAGCAAATATTGCGATGTTGCTAGTTTATCAGACAATTGATATGTATCAGAAAACAATTAATGATAAGAGTATGTGCTCGTTTGGAATACGAATATGAATTTATGCACATTTAATTATTTTGCCGCTTAATTTAAGTGTAAATTATCTAAATTTGTTGTTTAAATTCGACAAAATTTGCATTGCTTCATACTGATTAGATTCGAATAGTCATTTTTATTAATTATTTTTTTCATAATTCGATTTGAAACAATTATTCACATAAAGTAAAATGCGCAAAATCAATTTTTAAAAATAAATATTGTAGTTAGAAATTTTGATTGAGGTCAGTGTTCTCGATAACGTAATTATTAAAAATTTTAAAAGATCCAATAAAAGCAACAGCAATAGAAAAAATAAGGTTAACGACCCAGTCCTTGAATTAGGTATAATTTGTGTAAATCAATATTCGAAACTATTAATTATTTGCAAAATTAACGAAGAATAACGCAATGTGAAATTTCAATACTCTCAATACTTCATTTGAATACGCAACATTCGAATTCAAAGGATTACTCGCTATATTCGAGACATTTTAAAATTCAATTCAATATCTCTTTCAAAAAAATGTAAGCGAATTCGAGTAGCAAAAATATAAGGGGTGATTATGTATCTATGTATCTAAAAATAAGACAAGAAATTTTCTATTGTGTCTTAAAAAATTGTTAAATTTTGAATTCATATTTTTTATCTAACCAACGGCGCATGAAGGGCAAATGATACGATTTTATTTACGTCATTTTTTAATAAACTTCACAAAGAAAAAATGAAAAAAATATTTTTTCAAATTATGAATTTTTTAAAAAAAATTGGACAATTAAATCGGTAGACATAGATAATCGGCATCAGAATAATTTATCGTCCTACATATTTAAAAATGTTGATAACGATATTAGCAATATAATAAAACGCGAACCTTGAAAATCCGCTATATCCATCTACAAAATAATAAGTCTTAGCCTCAAGAAAAATGTTAAATTTTATTCACACATTATATTAGACGCTATAAGAAGTGCCAGTAGTTTTAATACCAAGCCATTAGCCGGCGAGAGTCACGGTAGTAAATACCTTAAATTGTATCGTATACGGCGTAAAAAATATTGTATTATCGGTAAATGCACTTCGGGTGGTATTGTTAAACAATGTGTTATTTGAAAACAGTGCTTTTTGTGTTAATAATCCAAAGTATAGGGAATATTTCTTCAGAAATACCAGACGAACCTCCGAATATTGTTGTTATATTAGCGGATGATTTGGTAAGTTTTATATCTTTAGTTATTTTATAAGAATATGTTGAATTTGTGATTAATCAATATATTTTTTAAATTTTTTAACCCCCTATGGGTTAATTGTTTAACATGGGCCAATAATTAATATTTAGTAAATTGCCCAAAAATTATTTTCGCGAATTGTTATTTTATTTTTTGTTATCTGCCTAAATTCAGTACTTAAAAAAAAGGTAAATTTTAATTACACAAAGCATCGAAATTTATCATCGACTTTAAACTAATTACTGATAAAAAATAATTATTGTTAACAACTTTGAAATAATAGAATGTAAGCCTTTCACAAACATTAGATTGTGTCTCGGTTACCGCAAGAAGCATAATGTAAAACACCACATTAACACTTAACTCATTCATTGAACGAAATTACGAGCATTGAAAGAAATCTAATGCATTCGTTTCACCTAGATGCTACAGCTCATATCGTTCATTTCATAACGGATCCTTATGTAATTATTTGCAATACACAACCTTAGGGGCTATCAGAAGAGAAGAAAAGGCAAAAAAAATTGCGAATCGTTAGATTAACTCATTCGATTAGACTGAATGATTGTTACTTTCTTCGCGTTGATTTAGAATAACCATAATCGGTTACCTAAAGTCGCCGAAAAAAAATAAATAAATCGAACTTATAAACGCACTATTTGCCTACACATCGAGAGATTGTCGATTAATTTTTTAGTTATTTAGAAATTTCAAATGGGAAGAAAGTGAGTTAATATCAAATATTATGTGTAGATTATCGCTTTTTCTAAAACAATTAGTTCCTAGTCTAGTATTCAAATATTTAAATTCACGTAAGAATTTTCTGTAAGAACAACCGAAACTTATTCATGTAATTTCAATATTACACTCAACCGTAAATTTTTATTATTTATATTATTTTTATTATTATATTATTCAGGCCGTTCGTATTTTTTTTATTGATTGCCGCAGGATGTGAAGTGCGTTAATTTTTATGTAAAACTCGCGCTTCTTCCCCCGCAATTTTTCAGGCCGTGAAGGAAATTTCACCTACAGTGCAATACAATTTCCTCAAACTCCCTTTCTGCAGGATGTTCCAAGAGGATCAGCCAAGATCTTTACACATTTTAATGTCTTCAGTTCATGTAACAACGCATTTAAAACTGGTACTAGTTAGTACTAGACATCACGTACCCCTCTCTTAGCTGCTTCGATTAACCAACAACTATTTCCTTCAATAAATAATCGGCGACAATCGCCAGAGAATCATACATCACTTTCAGAAAGGAGTCGCATTGCAAAACGAGATTTCCTGTTCAAAAGTTGATCTGGGTCGAGCAAGGAGCAATCTTCCACCGTCGTAATATTTGAGTTTTTTTTTTCGAACGTTTGCTCGAATCAAAATTTGCGTTCGATCGCCTATCGGACTTTCATTTCGCGTAATTGCCGATTGTCGCGTGAAAGTAGGTGATGGTGATGGTGTTTTTGTTCGCAGGGATGGAACGATTTCGGCATACACGGCTCTAATCAGATACCGACGCCTAATATAGACGCTCTCGGCTACAATGGAGTGATTTTGGATAAGTTTTATACGCAACAGACCTGCACGCCTTCCAGAGCGGCTCTGTTGACTGGAAAATACCCCATGAGACTAGGTAATTAATCTTTTGGTTTTGTTAACTGTTTTCATTCTTTCGTTAAAAAACATATTTTCTTCACAACAAAAATTTCCGATATTTTGACTTTTTTGCTAAAGTAAGTACATGAAAGATTAAATTTTTAGTGCAATTTTTTACAATACTTCGGTTATCTCGGAAACCAATCGAGATAAAAAAAGAAATGTTCATCATTTTGTAGAAAAAAACAAATTCGGTTATCTCGGAAACCAATCGAGATAAAAAAAGAAATGTTCATCATTTTGTAGAAAAAAACAATTCTATACAACTTTCAAAGAATTCCAAATTATCAAAAAATTCAAAATTTGTTCTTTTTTGTTATAAGCACATAAAGAAACTAATGCACTTCATTAAAAAACTGCAATTATCTCGGAACCTAGTCGAGATAAAAGAACAAAATTTTCATCATTTTGTAGAAAAAACAATTTACATAGACTTTAGAATTTACAATTTTCATAGAAAATTTTCAAAAACCCCCAAATTTCCAGAATATTTCGACTTTTTCTCATACAAGTAGGTACTCAAAAATGGGATATCAAAGAACCTGAAAAGTGCTCTGCTGCTGATTATTTTTTTTGTACAGACTGTCCTAAATAAGAACTTGTTCTCTGTGCACTCTTATACAATATTATAATTTCGAGGAACTGTTCAAATTTATCTAAAATTATCATTTCTTGAGCATCTTTTTGATGGGTCCACGGAAATGTTCTGGTCTACAAACGCCTGGCAAGTGCAAGCAAGCACTACAAAAATACGCGATGTGTATCTAATTAATTGCTATTATGCCAAATTAGAATTAATTTTCGCACGTTTCCTGAATGAAATTTTCATTAATCAAAATACCGCAATATTTATATACGCTCATAACAAATTTAATTCGAATAAACTAGTTTAGTATCACGTGCAAAAATGTATACATAATACATTTTGTTAATTTAGATAGATAGTATTTTTTATATCGAACTTTCATATAACTACTTTACGTTGACACGATATATTTGTCTAGCTCAAATATGAATATTCATTTTATTAACTTTAGCATCTCAGTCAAGGTAAATTTAAATGTTATCAAATTTCAGTAATATTATTGCATTTCGTCTCCATTTGCACTCGCTTTCGACACCTCCGAACAATCAAAATTTACGAAAGAAGCGACCTTGAATCGCACAAATCGCATTCCATATAGCACACGAATCGCTAACATCAGACATTTCACCGGCAGGTCTGCAGGGTACCCCGATAGACGCCGGAGAAAACCGCTCTCTGCCACTCGACACTCCCACCATGGCCGAGCAGCTCAAGAAGCTGGGATATTCCACGCATTTAGTGGGCAAATGGCATCTCGGAGCGGCTTGCAAGGAACACACGCCGACCAAACGCGGTTTCGACACTCATTTCGGTTACTGGAACGGTTACGTCGGTTATTTCAGCTACGAAATCAACGTGTCTCAACCTATAGACACTACAAAGGTAGGTATGCAGTCACGCAAACAAGTAGATTGCTAGCTTATCCCTTGATCGATCTCCAAAGTTTTCCTCCTGTATCATCTCTCCTGCTTCTCTTCTGTTAGAGTTCTTACAGAAGGATAGTTTTTACGACTGCGCCATTTATTCGTACTTTCCCCAACTCTTGTTATTGGTACTGCTCTTCGTGCCACATTCGCTCTCTCCTTCGTCTGACCCGTGTAGTTTATCCCAATTGGTTTAAGAATTTCAGCGGGTTCGATCTCCACGACGCCTTGAGCCCCCAATGGGCCTATCAAGGCCAGTACGCCACGGAGTTGTTCACGAAGAAATCGCTGGAAGTTATCGATAAACACGATGTATCTAAGCCGATGTTCCTGATGCTTAGCCATTTGGCTGGCCACACCGGACACGACGGTACCGAATTGGGCGTACCGAACAAAACCAGAACCGACGAGAAGTACAGTTACATCAAAGACGGTGGCAGGAGAAATCTGGCAGGTGATCATCGCTTACTATGATCGTAGCAATTGATAGTTTAATTATTGTTGTGTGTAGATGTTGTGAACATTTTGGACTGGTCAGTAGGAGAAGTGGTTAAGAAGCTATCAGACAGAGGCATGTTGGAGAATTCCATAGTTCTGTTCTTCTCCGATAACGGCGCGCAAACGCACGGATTGTTCCAGAACTTCGCGTCATCCTGGCCTTTTCGAGGAGTAACTAATCCACTCTCCTTACTTTCGAGTCTACGTTTGAAATGTGTTTTAGCTGAAGTTCACGCTGTTCGAAGGAGGCGTCAGAGGAACCGGGGTGATGTACAGCCCGCTGTTTAAAAAGCAGAGCTACGTTAACAGGCAACTGATTCACATCACGGACTTGCTGCCTACGTTTTACCGGGCAGCTGGCGGTAACGTCGAAGATTTGGGAAATATCGATGGAATAGACCAATGGGACGCTATATCCAAAAATGAACCTACTAACAGATCCACGATTCTCATAAGCATCGACGATCTGAACGGGTACTCCGGAATTCTGGGATACGACGGTCGATACAAGTTATTAAACGGTGATAATGGAATATTACTCGACTCGTACGGTTTTACTAATTTTCTTTTGGTTCCAGGCTCGTTCAAAGACGGTATTTACAGCGATTACTTCAGCGAAAGTTACAGAGGTCCGGAGAATCCCCCGTACGACATTAGCTCGGTAATGAAAAGCAACGTAAACGTAGCGATTCAGAAACTGAGAGAAAACAATCCTCTCGCACCGGCGACGATTAAAGACCTGCGCAAGCAAGTCACGTTGAATTCCTGCAGACCAGCGAATAATACGGAAGTATTCACCTGCAACGATATGTGTTTGTTCGATGTTTATTCGGATCCTTGTGAAACCACCAACATCATTAATGACCCGAGTAAAGAGAGGATTGTTCAGAATTTGAAACGAAAATTGAACAGATACCTGAGCAAAATAGTGCCGGCCGCTAACAAGAAAGTCGATATGCTATCGGATCCGAAGAACTTCAACAACACATGGACACCGTGGTTGATATGCGATGAGAAAAAGCAAATCTACAAATACGGATGGGCGGAATTTTACAGAAACCCTTTCATAGCACTGTTCAAATTTATATCACTTTACTTGTAAATCTAGTCAATAAATAATTGTAGTTCTAGTAATTAAAATACTTCTTGTAAGATTCTAACTGGACAGTTTTTGATATTCAGTTAAACTTAATCGTACAACAATTATAAAGACTGATCGTAGGCAGCTAGATTTCTTAATGGATGGTGTTATGTAATACCAAGTCAAAACATTGAGTGTTATTGCATAACACCATCCAATGTACTTACACACAAACAGGCAACATCGATAACAAGTACAGAAATTTCCATCTAGAGGGATTTAAAGCCATTGGATTTCTTAGGGGGATTCTTTCAATATCTCGTATGTAATTTTGCGTTTAAATCGATTTCAATCTAAGCAAAAAAATCGCATCGTCCAACCAATAATAAGACTGTTGCAGGTCCCCTTCGCACAAATAAGGAACTCGACTCCACGATATCACCTCGAAACCGTTCGGATTCAGAACGTCTCTAACCACGCTTTCGACTTGCTGCTCGAAATCGGGTCCCTTTATCGGCAACAATTCCTTAGGTTTGTGATCCGGAGAACCTAAAAATCAACAAGTATTCTATATTCGCTAATGTATGATGGATTTACTCACCATATTCCACGTAGGCCGAGAAAGGAAGAACCACTGCTAGCAGGACCACACCGTTCGGGTTCAACGAGTGTCTGATTTGCTGCAACAGCTCCAGCGGTGTATCGCATCGATCGATGAGATTCAAACAAGATATAAAATCGTATTTTCTATCGACGTGCCAATTATCGATTTCTAACACCCTGAAATTACGATAATTATTAATCTATAACACCGCTATTGGAATATTCTAATGGGGTAAAGTATAACAAGTAATCCAAAATTGAATATGGAGAACTCACAGATTCAAATGCCACCTAAGATGGTTTCGTAATAAATACTTTGTGATAATTTACGATTTTACGCTATTAGACGTATTTTACGACACTTTGCTCACTTATTAGGACTTTACGATGTCCGGAACAAAGTGATAAACTTAATTGTCGCGTAAATCACACGAACTGTGAATTGTTTTTAATTTCTGCCAACTCCCTACTGTTCGTTACTTACGATTTAACATATATTAACTTTAGGAATGCATTTTTGTATTCGTCGTGGAATTATACGGGTCTTTTATCATTTATTATACCGCTTTATTGTGATCTACAAACCGGAGGAAGCGTTTAATTTGAATTTAAAATACATTTTTTCACTTCTGGAATTTATTAGACGGTGTTTCTATTAAACAGGAAATGTAACGAACGTTCAGGCTCTAATTGATATAAAGTGGCATCATTTTTATTTTATAGGACGCAGAAGGCACAAATAAATGCAACAAAGAGATGTATTAAATTAATAAATTAAATATGACAAAAATCAACGACTTTATATTACCACAAACATTTTATTTTGTATACTAAATATAAAAAAATTTGGTGTTTATTTATATAAATAGTAAGTGGCATCGATAGGCCTATTTTTCGTGAAAAAAAATCGAGCAGCTATTAATGTTTCACGCTCCGTTACTCGAAATCGTCCGTACAGAGAATTTAAAAATTTATCCTCCACAAAGACCGAAGAATATCACGTCGAAGGGATGAAAAACCTTATTTCAAGGCTCATCAGTAACACTAGTGGTCCATTATATTTCCTATTAACGCTGCCAGATAACCTATTTGACATCGATATTTTATTAGATGGATTCGACGGATTTTATAGGCGCTTTATTTTCGCCCGTGTCTTCGACAGCGATTTTTCCAAAATGTCATTATATACCAACGTTGAGAAGTCGATTCTTTTTTTAAACAAATCTAAATTTTCACGTTTTTTTATACCTCTAGTACAGCAAATAATTGCCATTGTATTTTACGTAGAAACTTGAACAATTTAGATACAATGATAAGTCGTTGTGCTATTTTTGTATCTTCCAACGAATCGTTATCTTCGAATAAATCTTGTTAATACGAATTTTATTGCAACGACCGTATAGATTCGTTCAAAAGAGGGTTTTAGAGTTTTTTTAATTCTTCTATAAATTATCAAATAATCAACATCGATACGGCTTTTCAATTTGTCCTCGCAAATTATTTAAAAGTTTACGGCAACACTTAAAAATTATAACACTCGTACAAGATTCCAACCCATTACCGTTAATTGCATTAATAATATTGTATTTTTATGCGCCATAAAAGTACTCACTAAAATTGAACAGCAATAAAATATTAAGTGCCCACTTACTGGTATCTTTTTCGAAGGAAAGGAGCCAGAGCATTAATAAATATAAAAGTGTCGACGGTGTTATTTTTCGTTTTTGGAGTGTTTTTTTTCTTTGTGATATTTGTTTAAGGAAGTAAAATATTTGCATATATATTGTTGCTTTTCATTTATACATCGATTCTCAAAAAAAACCATCTTCCTAGCCTCCTTTATAATTTTTTATATATTTTTTTGTTAACAGCTATTAAGGTAATGAAGGAAGCAAAAATAACAAATTATGGGACCAATTTGACTAAAAGATTAGAGAGAAAATCGCCGACTACTCATTAAATTTTTAGAATGGGTACTTTAAGAGCAGTAACTAATTAAGACCAACCAAACAACATACTTTGAAGAACATAAAACGAAATGTTCTTGAAACAATACATCAAAAAATACTAATAATTTAAAATTTAAATCATACAAATGAGGGAAGTAACACCATAAACACTGATTTTTTAATAATGTTCCAAGTACCCAAAGTATAAAAATATGGAGATTTCATCAGAATCTACTGTATAATAAATATTTAGCTAGCTCAATTATTATGAAGAGTAAAATGAAAACTTACTCATATCCTTTCATTTCAAGGAGACTCCTCATAGTTTTGGAAACTTCTGTAACGTATACTTTCTTAAATGATGGTGCTAATTGTGCGGTAACTTCTCCATCACCGGCTCCAAGATCTAGTAAAGTTTCCGATTTCCAGGTGTGGTCGAAGGCTGAGGGTAGTAATAATTGTTTAAATTGTTGGTGCGAAATGACGAACATCGAGCCTCTCCGAAGCCACCTGAACAAAAACAAATAAATTTTACGATTTTATGCCGAACTTTAGCGACGGAGGTTTCGGTTATCGAGAATGAATGAACGCAGAAATGAATAAATTTAAGAGCTTGTTCGACTCGTTTTATTTTAATTCCCCGAAAACTTCCAGTAATCCGCGTATTTATACGTATCTAAATTCAAATTAGCCGCAATTCCGGGCCGAACAATCCCATAAAGTCCACCCTTATCGAGTTAAATTGAGATTCGTCGGCGAGCAAACATTTTAAAATTCCCATCGTAAAAATTATAATCGCCAGATTTTAATTATAGTGAGTGCTGGAAATATTCGATTTTATTGCGCGACAAGACGTTTGGAATACAAACTTGCGATGTAAACGCGAAGGGAATATTTACACGAGGCTCGATATGAACGGCATGGGGATTGTTTCCGTTAAATTAATCGCTATTTTAGCGAACGATCGAAGAAATCCAATACATCATACATATTGTTTCAACCGTACAAGAGCAAATTCGAATGAATATTATTATCTATTCGTCTATGGTACATATCGTAATTCACGAACTGACAGCCATCTCCCGGAGCTTTCTAAAATTCGCCGTTGGATTTTAATGGTCGGTGAAATGGATGAGGATGGAAAATTACACGCAACGGCCGTCAGACCCGCACTTACGGACTGATTTAGACTCGATTGAATTTATATCGAAAACCGGCACATTTAATGCTCATTGCAATACATCAAAATTATACGTATCGACGTAGCGCACAAAAATCCGGCGGTTTAACCGTAAGAAGCTTCCAGCATTGTTCTATAAGAGGTACACCTACGATTCCGAATAGGATGTTTCAGGCGGTTTTCGTTGGATTTATGGAAAGGGCATTTTTACTAGATTCATACTGAAATTACACGTTTCTCGATAACGGTTTAAATCTCGAAAGATATATTATTAATAATTGAATATACGGTAACTTTTTTTTTCACAATGCACATGTATTAATCAATTCGTCAAATTTTTAGAGAGTAGAGTATTTTTTAATTACGATTAAAAAAAAGAAATTATTTGCGACCAGCAAGCGCATAAAGCATACCCAATATAACTCGCGGATGTTTGAAAATTTAATTTTTCACTTGAGGCTATCGATTTTCTACTTTGCATATTTCAAACATTATGAATTACTTTACTATATATTTTTGACAGGATGCATTTTGCAGGGAACTCTATCGTGTATAATTAAAACTTTCGAGCTGTTCCAGTCCCTAATAAATACCTAGTTGGGAAGTTTTATAAAAGTTCTTGCACATTATATTATGAATAAATTACGAAAGAATGGTAGTAATTTCGCCAAAAAGAATACAAGAAGGGTTTTATTAAAATGGCCGGTTAGCTTCACGTTATTGGCACCACACACACATGGTCAGATTTTCGAGAATTTTTTAATGGTTTAATTGTCGTGCCCCGTCAGTCTGTGATTTTACCTAATAGTATGGTATTGACTGAATAATGTTGTGTAATTACATCTTTACGAAAGGTTCCAAAATATAGCATTTTTTTAACTTTTAGGAGATTTTGCAATGATACAATTATGCAGGTATCTTCGAATTTTTCGATATCCGTTTCGTTGTGTGTGTACTTCAAAATGTGAAAATTTTGTGAATATGACTCGTCATTTTATTAGGTCATAAATTTATAGCTATCGATTCGAATCAGCTGGGACGCCCTGTATAAAACAGGAGAGCACTATCCGACTATTTTATATTCATCATAGAGCATTAACTTTTCTCCTATTCTTACACTTTGGTTGGCTGTTCCTAATTGTTCCCTGGCGAGAAACTTTTATGTCGAGGAATTCTAGATATTCTTAAATCGAATTCGTAATTTTCCGCTTCGCCTGTAACAACCCTAAAGGGATTAAAGCACATTCTATGCAGAAAGCAGAAAGTTGTTTCAATTTTAGAAATTAGCACTCAACTTATTAATAAAGAAATTTTAGAGAAATAGAGGATAAATCGAAAATGTAGTCAAAGACGGAAGCGTCAACAGCAAAGAAAGCAAAGAATATTTTTTTAATAAAAACAGGGAGCGAACGCAAGCAATTCGACAGTTTCTATTTTTATGATTACAAAGTTTTATGTAGCGTAACGATCTCACGTCGACGTCATTTGGAATCCCAGTCTTCAGATGTTGTAAGTTTACGTTTGGCATGGGAGAAAAGGCATTAAAAAGCCATCGGACGACGACAATGTCCGGCGAGAGGTGACAGCGCGGTGCCGCTTCATCCCCTCGCCTACTTCCAATCAACCCCTGCTAAAAAACTCGATCAATACATAAAAATTTCATATTGAAAATGATTGAGGGCAAAGACGACGGCCAGATGAGGCGGAGGGAGAAAGGCGGAGACGCCTGGCTCCATTTTCCTCTTTCTTATTAAACTATTTTTCTTCTCTCGGTGAAACTTTATTATTCTCGGAAAACTACTTTATTCCTTAAAGTCGGAAAAGTTGCCGGAGATCAAAAAGTATTAATTAGGTTTGAGTGATTCCAAGTTATAAGGACCGGCAACGACTCGGGAGCCTTTTATGAACTTAATAAGACTGCAAGAGTTTAAAGTTTGCAAGAGGTCGGATCGATAATAGTGCATTAGAGTCGAATTAAATTCTGAATCCAGTAAAAATATATAAGTATCTAAAGGAATAAAATACGGTAACGTGGTATAATTTACCGTTATGGAAAAAAACACAAAATATATCTACTTTAGTATTTTTTAAATGTAGATAAAAAATAATAGACCCTAAAATAGTTATCAATGTTATTTTTGGATTTAACATAATTCTACATACATACTTTTTACATTTTTACCACGGTTCCAGAAATTAAATCAACAAAAAAAAGGATGTTCTGTTTCTCTATTTTTTTAATAGAGCGCATTTTAATGAAGACGTCAGCGTCCGTTACTTTTAAAAATCATTAAAGCATGACGAGACGCTACCCACCAGCCAAATCGATTATTTTCAGAAATCGAAAGTTTTTGCTACCGTGCATTTATTGAATGTGCCCGTCCGGCTTTGTCGGGGCGACGTTTTCTATTGTTTACCCATATACGATACCTCGTTCTTTCAAAAACGTTCGCTCATTTCACGTTTTATTGTGCTCATCATCGTTTTCTTTGTGCCCGTCAAAAGAATAATTTTAATTTTGTCTGTGCTAGGTGCTTTCCGAAAAATAAAAAAAAATTGATTGGATTTTAATGTGCAGCTCTACCTATGGGAAAATTACTGATGCGGGTAAATTGTAATAAATTGATTATTAATGTTTTTAATCATCTAAAAGTATATTCGCGATGTAATAACTTTGAAATATTACTAGGTGAGGGTATACAAGGTTTTGCTAAAAAGTTTTTACTACTTTAGGACTAAGAAACGTCTTATAACATTAACAAATATGACCCTGTATGTAACGATAAATAAACAGTTAATTTCCTTATAAAAGAATGTGTATTATTACCTGCTGCGTATTCTTATATGTACGTATACGAAATTAAAATACGGTTGCACAAGAAGAAATAAAATTAAGAAACAAAAACAATTTGTAAAGAGCACCACGTGAAACCAAACACCAAATAGAACGAGAAACCGTAATTAATTATATATTACTTTTCACAAAACCGCTTTAGAACTTGCAGGTGTTTATATAAATTAATTATTTTGTAATTATATCTCCTGTAATTTATTTTAGATTTTTAATCACTTATACTCTACATACCAAACAGATTCCTTTTACTTACAAGTATTAGGCAAGATTTTTCCTACTGTATATTTCCACTGCTTTTTAATTATTTCTAGTTTAATTAACAATCTTTTTATTAGACAAATTAAGGACGAATTATTAAAAGAGCTTTTATTCGCTAATGAGGTTTAAATATTTAATTTCGATCTTCTGATTCTGCAGTTTATTACAAATTAGTAAAGTTGCACCGTAAGTAGCCATCCTTAGTCCACCTTTAACGATTCTTTTCCAACGTTTATTATAATTTAATGGACTGTCCTTGAATATTAATATTAAATCTCCTAACCTAGTGCCTAATAATAATATCGAAGTTATCGGTTACAGCAATGTAAACATTCCTGAATCGGTCGCAATTAGTATGCAGTTGAGATCCTGTAGAGCCGATAACCCAGTAATTACAAAATTACAAGCAATTACGCATTCTTGCTGCCGTTGGTGAGGAATAAACCGAGAAATTATATTGGTTATCGGCCACAAGAAAGTACCGGAGGATAATTAAAAAGTCTTATAAAGATTTTTTATTACTTCAGCAATCGTTTAAAAAAATAAGTAGGTATAAGTCATTAGGGCGAATATAATTTCCATTTTTTTACTGAAAATATAAAGGCAATTCAGTACTGTCATGCACACCCTCCTTTTGATCTTCCAATGCGCCTCCGGTAAGAAGATTACCGCCACCCTCATCTGGCCGGCACCGCCGCCGCCGCCGAAGATGCATTGTTTTATTCATGGGTCGAACTCGCCACCCCCGACTAAACGCTTCGGAAGCATTAATCTTCCGGCCCGGGCCCGACACAATATGAGGAACTCCGGTCGTGCTTTCCATTCGGAATCATTTCTCTATAGATATTTATGAAGTTATTAAGGTGCGCTTTAATTTCACTCCGCCAGCCCCAAATTACCAGCATTGTTTAATGATTTACGCCGCACATTCGCGATTTATGTCCCGGGAGTGGATTATTGCTTCTACTTTCTCATTTTCGCGCAATAGACGGGAAATTGTAAAATATAATTAACTGCTACTCCCTAAATTATAAAACCAAATTTACGGTATTTTAATTAGGTACTTACTTACTTTAAAAATATGGTGTATTTAAATATTCTTTCTACGTCCACCAAAAGTTACAATTAAAAATAAACGATTTACGTAGACATTTTTAAAAAGCTAGAAAGATTTTTTGGAAATCAATTTTTATTTTGGGTAAGTAAAAGTGTAAAGCC